AGTTGCTGACCTTGTTAATTCGGGGCTAACATTAACTTTAACATTTTGAATAATTCGTGATTTATCATCATTTACGTTATAACCAACCGTAATCTCTGCTTTTGCGTTAGTGTTCTTTTGACTAGTGAAACGTCTTCTCATTTATATTCGAATAAAAAAATATATTTAAACTTTATTTTGCTGGAAGTTTGAATCTATTATTCCCTGTATTCATGAAGTTGATTTTTACTGATTCATTGTAATTAATAGACCCTAATATATTCATTAATTGCATTCTTATAATCATCTGATTTCTCAAATTTTCTTTTATCTGATTCCTTAACTAAATCATAAGTTAAACTCGTTGCTGATATAATGGTTTCTTAATTAAATCTTTGAATGCTTGAGATAAAGCACCTGATGCAATTCTTGCTACTATAATTGGTTGGAATTGCTGTTTAAGTTCATCTTTAACATTTGCGAAAACTGGATCGAATAAAAGCAACTTTTAAAGAATTTCTTAGCTGAAATTCAGGTCTAATTTTGCATATTGACCATCAAACTGTTAGAATATCGTGGTTAATCCATCCGTCCTCTTCAATAGCATTTAATTCTTCATTGAAATAAGAATATGGATTATAACGGTATGAATTAATTGGACCATTTTCACCTTCTCCAATGTATTGTTTAACAGCTTTTCCATTTTCATCAAATTGCATAGGATAACGTTCATTATATGCTTTACGTTTAGGATAATCAGTTATAGTTAATTTGTAACCATTTATGACTTTAATATTTCCTTGACCATCAGTAACGAAAACTTCATTTATACCATCAGGTTTTCCATTTGGAGCTGTAATGTCTGCTTCGTGTGCTTCCCAATTTGGACCATGACGTTTGGCATATGCTTGAGCTTCTGGTAATGTTAAAACGTTTCTCATTTGTTTAACATCTTTTGAAGACCAGCAACAATATGAACTAATTCTTTCATTCCATCAGGAACTTTCATAGTTCTATTATATGCACCCTTTTTGTTTGTTCCTTGTTTTAATGGAACCTGTAGAAGATTTGCTATTTCTGTCATGTTTAATTATAAATAAAAAATAAAAATTAATTATAAAAAGTTAATCAATTTAACACCTCCTTTATTTAAATCAACTATTATTTTTCCATGTTCACCTAATTGCTGATATTGTGTGTAAAGTTCATTAATGCTCATTGGTAAATTCACTTGATAAAGCATAACGTTCAACTGTTGACGACTAAACCCACTGAAAATGAAAAGGGTTGATAGATTTGATTTAATGTTTGTGCTTAATGCTTTGAAATATTGAACAGCCATGAAGAATGAACACTGAATGTGTCGACATTGAGTTAATAACTGATTAAAATATGATTTCTCGTTTGTTATTAGTTTTGATTTCACTGCATCATCTAGAAAAATGAGTGAATGCAAAAATTCTCTATCAAAATTTGAAATAGAAAGTGTTTCAAATAATTCATCCCGTTGTTTATCAATAATTTTATCCTCTAATCCTTGCTTCTTGATTGTATTATATAATTCTTTATACATTAAAAAGTTTTTTAAATAATCTTCTGCTTCTTCTTGTGATAAATAAATAATTGGAATTTTGATTAAATGCTTTAAAGATTCAAATGTATCATCTGAAGGTGAACCTGAACGGTTGATATAAATTAACACATGTGAATAGGGGGAGGTGTTAGCAATAATGATAATTTGTTTTAATATCGTTAATGTTTACCTTTATTCTGTTTACCAATTGCTGCAGTGATTGAATTTAAGTAACATTCAGAATATGGAATTTTCATTAATTTTCCTTAGATAGAGCATTTCTATTATCACTCAATGCTTCATTAATCATATCATCTATGTATGTATTATATACTCCTGCTAATTCTTCTTCATAAGGGGTGGATGAATTTAAATCCATTTAATCAAAAATAAATTTATAATTTTAAACATTTCTATTCATCAATATTTCATCATATGAACTTCTATACTGTGGTGGTGTACCTGTTGGATGATATTTCAAACCTTCATCCGGTGTCCATGTCCAATATGTAGTCCTAGTAAACCAAACCTGAGGAGGATTTGTCACCTTTGAACAGTAAGTGTCATTTTCACCCTGAATGATTGGATAAGCTTTCACTTTACTGTAACTTGTGAGTTGAAAGTTTCTAATCCATCAAAGAATATACCCGCTCCATCACGTTGAACTGGAATAGTGCATAAGAATGAAGTTTGGTCTTTCCATGTTCTAGCTAATGGCGTGCCATCATCTGCATTCAGTGGTCTAGTTAATGAGTCCTCGTATTCTTCTGTGCATTCATTCACTCCATCTAAATCAGAAGCTTGAAGCATACGTGTAAAGAATATGTCACCCACTGTGGTCATCGCTTGATCGGGGAAGTTTCTGGAATCTATAGTGACCTGAAGACCTCGAAGCATTGGATTTTCTAAAACTGTTCTTTGCATTGCATTCTTCGGAAATGCTAACACAACATCTGTAACATTATGAAGAGCGTATGAGAAATCTGAGCTAATACCTTCAGGAGTGATGCAACCTCCATTTAGTGAACGAACGTCAATATGTTGAGCTGGAATCATGAATGGATCTTCCTTACTGAATAAACATGGTATTGCTTTAACTGATTCTTCAATTAAACCGTACCCTGGTGTAATGCATTTATCCTCTAAAACTTCCATCTTTGTGCATGAAATAATAACGTCATCAACTGTTGCGTCAGCAGATGTAGCGGCTAAGCTTGTATTTAATTTGGCAGGAAGTCCGATTTGTTGGAATTTGCGATCATATTTATAAACATGATTCATAATCTTTTCATAATTTTCATCAGTTATCTTTTCATAAACGTAATTTTGTAAATCAGCAACTCTTAACGGGTCAACCTGACAAAATACTAAAGTATCCCTGAAAACATAATATTTAAGAATGATATCACCAAATGATTTAGGATAATCATCGAACGCCTGAAATGCTAACAAATCATTTACCGGAATAATCATATCAAAAGTGATATCAACTTCTTCATTTGCTTTCTTGAAAACTTCTGAAGGGTCAATATATTTACCACATACTGAGTTATCATATTTTTGAACATTATTATATAACGAATGAACAAACTTTTTAACTTTCCTTTCTGATTTTGGTTTATATGTTGCAAATGCGAAAGATTCACGGGCGCAATCCATCTGAAGATAACCGGCATCACCTCTTTCGGTTTCTACTTCTAATTGTTTAAAGCTTTGATTTGATGATTTGTAACCAACGAATAAACGCATGCATTTAAAAGCGGCATCACATGTGAAAGCTTTATTTGAAACTAGAGTTGCTTTAACTTTGCGTTTAATATATGTGTCACCTAATTGGTTCACATCATGAGCCGGATTTGTAATTCTTAAATGAGTTTGGTTATCATCAAAATATGGAGTATCAGAGTCATAGCATGAACTTTCAAGTTCTCTATAATATCTTCTACCGTCATTCTTTGCGAATATTTCATTTATCTTTTTCGAATGAATGAAACACATTTCCATTAATCGGTTTAGTGTTTGGCACCAAATAGTTAGTCGTCATTTATTAATAAATAAAAAATCAAAATTAAAAGATGAAAATGAATTTTTAATTTTAATGAAATAATCAACTATGGCTGCAGGTATATTTAAGAAACTGTGGGATAGAGTAAAAAGAGGAGCGAGTAAAGTTTGGGAAACATTGAAGAAGGGGGCAAATTGGATATTTAAGAATAAAGAAGCAATTAGTGACGTTGCTGAATCAATAACGCCAAAAGCTGCACCAATAAGAGAAGTTTTAAATAAAGGAGAAAAAGTTTATCAAAGACTACAACCGATACTAAGATAAAAATAATTTTAAAATAATTTATTTTTCCACTATCTACCTCCTATTTTATTAAGTATTCCTTCAGCTATTCCACCAATTGCGTTACCTGCTTGTGCTCCCATCGCCGGATTACCTGCTTTAGTACCTAATACTCCACCTATGATAGTTCCTGCCGTTTTCGCTACTGGTGCCAAAAAGTTTGCAATGGGTTTAATAATCTTTTTATGAACCCAACCCGCAGCTTTCTTAATTCCATCCCATAATTTTTTAAAGAATCCTGCCGCCATTTCTGATTTAATATTAATTAAAAATTCATTTTCATCTTTTAATTCTAATTTTTATTTAATGATAAATGAAACTGATTTTAAAAATAAATGAAACAGAGGAGGAAGAAATAAATGAAAGTGAAAATGTTCAACAAAATATAAACATTGTTAAACCAATTACTGAAATAAAAATTTTTTCATCTGTTGACGAATTTAATGACTATTATGCTAATAATAAAAAATTATTTGAAGAATTGACAACGTGTAAATTGAATAAAATGTTTAAAGTTGATGGATTCAAAATTTCAAAAATAAAAGGAGTGGTTAGTTTGAAATCTATTCCTCAATCAAGAATCACCTCATTAATGAAAATAGATGATTTAACAAAAAGAATAGAAGAGATTGAAGAAAGAATGAATCAAATAATTGATTTCATAAATTCAAATAATCATTAGCTTATTTTGGCTTTCATATTCATTTAATAATTCACAATCTTCATTTTTAAATTGAAGTTTAACCCATTCAGGATTTAAACAATGTTTAATTAATCGCGGAATATCTGACATCATCTATATATAGCTTCTTTTATAAAAGATGAAAAAATAAATTATTTTAAAATTAATATTAATTTTTTTAATGGTTTATAAATAAATATATTTTAATGCATCGTCTATATATAGATGTAACAAAAAAAGTCACAAAACCCATCATATCCTACTACTGCTTATATTGAAATATGGAGGAGACTAAAATTACCACAAACTATTGGTAATTTTTAAAATCCAATAGAAACTTAAAAGATCAAAATTGAATACACTTGAGGTTTTATTCAAAATTTCAAAGGCTTTTGAATTCACATTTTCATTATAAAACGATGATCAACATCTTTATAAGCTTGATCAACTGCTATTGGATCCACAATCCAAATTCATATAAGATTGGAAATCTAGGTGAAGATACGATTTTCTTCGAACCGCCAAAGCTAGGAGAGGATACCTATGTTGCTTTTTTGAATCCGGAGAATTTTTCGACAAATACAGCAACGCATCTAGAACCTGTATATAAAAATATTTGCAGTATCACGATTAAATCCTCCTCAAAGAATGCTACCTTATATTTCTCATTCATAAAAATTGATAAGGGATTTTGTGGAACAGTTGATTTCTATTATTCATTAGGTGATAGATATGATATATTGCAGGTTTCGAAATATGCAAATGCTTGTATAATTTATCCAACCTGGGAAGGTATTGATTTCAATTTCTTTAAGAAAGATCCATTTGGAACATCAGAATTTTTTGATTCTGATTCTTCCCAGCGCTCACCTTATTTTGCATTTAATCTTATTCATAAGTTCGAAAGAAATAGAACTATTAATAGCGATTATTTCCACCGTTTTGGAAAATTTGAGATGAGAAGTCCAGTTGTTATTAATAACTTCCATGTATGGCACAATGAAAAAGATAAACCATATTTGGGACTCTCTGATACTTCCTATAATGTTGGTGCAACAGTTTGTCCCAGTCGTAATTCCAGAAGTCTGCACAAACATAATGGAAACTCAGGCAAAAGGAAAAGAATAACAACAAAATAAGAAATTACTAAAAAGAAGATTTGATTCATTTTAAAGGATAATTGTTTTTTTTTTCTAGATTCACCAATATTTAGTACCACCTTTTGGGAATATCAATTATTTTCTTTGTGCTTATTAATGTAATGTCAGGAAAGATGAAGAACTTCTCATTCAAAAATACTTCATTATATGTAAAAACTCATAATAATTGAAGAAAAAAAAACTAAGTTAATTCCAATTAATGCTAAAAGTTGAAATGCTGACATGTTATCAGTCATATGTATACCTGAAATTCTATAGAAATCTTGTCAAAAAAATACTGGCAAGTATTTTTTTAATATTTTGAATTTTTTTATTACAATTATTTTAAGAAAAAGCGATCAGCTTGGGAAGATTCTAGATTGCCGTGATATGAAATTAAAGAACGGAAACTTAATATCAAAATCTGATAATAGTAAAGCTATTGAATTCTTTGCAAGTGCTGTAAAACGCGCTCAACACATTGGTGCAGCTGGAATTGAATTTCATGGAGCTCATGTGTATTTACTTTCAATATTCCTTCCTAAAACTAATCCAAGAGATGATCAGTATGGTGGAGAAACAAAGAGTAGATTCCGTTTCCTGCAGGAATGTGTTGATGCATTTCGTTTTCTTTCCGGAAAAGACTTTATTGTTGCTGCTAAAATCAATGCAGATGATTGGGCAAAAGGCCGTAACAAACCAGAAGATGCCGCAAAATCACAATTTCTATCAAAGGAGTTGATTTATGGGAATACTCATTTGGTTATTCCGACACTGAGGAAAGGAACAGATGCAAAATTGCTATTGTAGATCGCCTCATAACAAAAGCAAGAATGAATAAAGCAATTGAACTTGGCTGTGACCTTGTTTCATTCGGAAGACCAACAATTGCTGATCCATTCATGGTCCAGCATTTGATGGAAAGCAAATCGATCAAATGCATTTCATATAACAAATGTTTCATGAATCATCATATCCAACCAGTTAAATGCTATGCTTTTTAAAATAATTTATGCGAACTATGAAGTATTTGCTAATCTCTTGACAATATATACTCGATGAGTATAAGATAGGTCGTTTCCTTGAAATTTAAAGTATTTCATAAAGATTTGAATATTAAATAATTTTAAAAATAAATTTTGTAACGAACCAACAACTATTATGTCATATTGAATCAAACCAATTCAGAGATGAATTACGACAATAAAACATCCTAAAAAATGTCATATCATGAGAATTTGCAGAGTTAAAATAAAATTATCCTATTTTATGAATATAATATTTTAACACTATTTGCTTTTAGATGCATGGTTTGATTTAACAGCTAATGAACATTTTTTTGAGAGAATACAATGTTTCAGAATTTTAATATTCATTATTTATTTGTTTAACAGTATAATGTCAACATTCAGAATAAATTTGCTGGAGAATTTTTTTTCAAAAGGGTATTTTTGTGATCCGAAAAAATACAAAATATGCTGATAAATATATAACATATCTCTATTAAACAATTTGACAAATATAAAAATTCTTTCAATTTTTGAATATAGGACAAGCCTTGGTGTCACCTTTTCAGATTTGGTGATCAAAATCATTATGTTCATTATTCATATAAGATAATTGATATATCATTTTTATGCAATAAACAGTTCATAAAAATTTCAATAGCATTTTCAATTTATAAGTCTATAGAAAAATTGAAATGCAATTCAAATTTCAAATTTGAAATTTATTTTAATAACATAAAATAACAAAATCATTAACAAGTATCCGTATCAAAAAGTATAGAGGCATACTATTTACAAACAAAAACGGGTATTTATTGAAAAATTGAAAGGTATTAGAATGTTCTTTTTCATAATACAATAATGTTCAGCATCCTTTTGTGCTTGATCAATTATTATGCTATCCACAATCCGAATTCATACAAGATTGGAAATCTCGGAGAGGAAAGGATTATTTTTGATCCGTCATTACCAGGGCAAGATACTTACGTTGCATTTTTGAATCCTGAATACTTTGCAACAGGTACAACAAGGCATCTATGGATACTTCTCTATTTACTGAATTATCAACCATTAGATAATTCTTAGAATATTGAATGGCTGAGATCCCTAATAGTGTTGAAGCTTATGAACCATTAGTTATCACATTTATGCTAATACCGCGCTTTTTCTGTATTTTCTAAGATACATTTTACTTTCTTTATTTGTAAATAGGAAAGCATGCATAACAAATATTCTCTGAAGTATGATATTTCATAAATACGACAAATGATATTTAAAAATTCTTTGAACTAATATATATGATCGAAAAATAAGAATTAGGAGATAGTTTTGAAGGTTAAATTGATATTAACTCTATACAATTCTAATAGCCATATCAAGTTTTGAAATAATATCATTTTTTTTGAAACAATACAACGATTCAGAATTTTAATATTTTGATGATTAATAATTATGTGACGATAGTTGGTTTAAATATATCATGTTAATATTAAGGATAAATTTGCTGGCGAAATTTGTTTTTCAAAGGAAATTTTTGTGATCTGAAAAATTACAAAACGTGCTTATTAAAAATATAATTTTAATACATCTCTATTAAGCAAATTAGCAATTATAGAAATTTATTCAATTTTTGAATTGAGGACAAGTTTTCGTGTCACCTTTTCAGATTTGGCGAATAAAATCATTATGCATGACATATATGTGGATTGGTTGATCAATTAATCAATTTTGATAAACAGATTAACATATTTTAATTTTCAATTTAAATGTTAATAAGAAATGAGAGAGTGTTCAAATTTTGAATGAAAGATATCGGAGTTATAACTGCCATTCAAAATTCAAAAGATTTAGAAAATTCATTTTCATTAATCATTAATGTTCAGCATTCTTTTTTGCCTGATCAATTACTTATGGGTCCGAAGTCCAAATTCATATTCCCTTAATATTGTCGGGGAAGATACTATTATTTTTGAGCCACCTAAATCAGGCGAGGATACTTACGTTGCATTTTTGAATCCTGAAGACTTTTCAACAAGTGAAACAATGCACCTAGAGCCATTATATAAAAACATTTGTGGCATAACGATTAGATCGGCATCAGCAAATATTACAGTTTACTTTTCGTTCATCAGAATTTCCAAGGGATTTTGTGAAACTGTTGATTTTGTTTTCGCCCGACGCGAGTATTATGATTTTAACACTGTCCCAAGATATGTAAATGCATGTATAATTTATCCTACATATAAAGGAATTGATTTCAACTTCTTCTTTAATGATCCATATGGTACATCAGAATTTTATGATTCAGATTCCTCCCAAAGATCAATATATTTTGCATTTAATCTCATCCATAAATTCCAAAGAAATGGAACTACAAGTTCGGACTATTATCACCATTTTTTATCTAATTTACACCGAAGTCCTCTTATAATCGAATATTTCCATGTTTGGTATTTTGAAGACGATATTAGCTTTATCAAAGCTTCTGATAAATCCTATAATAGTGGCGCGACAGTATGTCCAAATAGCGTAACAAAAATCTCTGAAAGAGCATTTTATAATTCTTCAATTTCTAGTATAAATCTTGGAAATATTAAAGAACTAGGATCAAATGCATTTTGCTACTGTAGGAAATTGAATCAGGTTTCATTATATAGTATTCAATTCCTAACAACATCTTGTTTCAAGGATACATCTTTGGTTGAGGTTGATCTTCTCAGTCAATTAACAATAATTCCAAGTTATGCATTTTGTAATTGCACTAAGCTCCAAAAATTTAAGTGCAATTGTATTTACATTGAACATTATGCATTTTGTAACTGTACATCATTGAAATCATTCGATTTTAATATTCGTTCATTATATGATATAGCCTATACAGCATTTTTAAATACATCAATTGAAGAAATTGAAGTAAATACCGCATTTCACTCATTTCCTGCGATTAAACATCTGAATATTACAAAAGTTAAAATGACGATTATTGATGATTATCGAAATGATTATAGAAATGATCATTTGAATTCATTTTTCGATAAAATAAAGTTAAATATCCCAAATCTAAAAACTATTGAATTTCCAAATGGATGTAATTATATTTTTATGACCAATACCCTAGTTGAGAATATAATTATTCCTCCTTACTCAAGCTGTACTATTTTTATATCAAGCTGTTACAAACTTAAAAAATTGCCAAGCAGTATTTATGATGTTAAATATGTTGGTGATATGCCTGAACTTGAAGAAGTAGATTTATCAAATTGCTATTCAATATCAAGAAATAGTTTCTTCAACTGTCCAAAACTGGCAAGAATAATTGGTTGGGGTGATCATTCAATGATCCTGGGGGCATGTTTATTTGAATCCTGTCCCTTAATTGATATTAGTATATGGAATTCTATGTTGAGAGCAGAGTCTAACTATTATGAGCGTTATTCGCCCCTAGAAAATACATACATAAAAGAGATGACAATTCAATCAGGCAATGTACCAAAATTTATAGGTTGCAAAGTCCTCAAAAAGGCTACATTTTTAGAAAATTGTGGTGTCACTAAAATTGATGATTACTTATTCTACAATTGCGTTAGTTTAACAGAAGTTATTTTGTGCAAATCAATTAAATCTATAGGAGTTAAAGCATTCAAATACACAAATATTTCGTATTTTGATTTCACAAATATATATGATTTTGATCTTTCAGCATTTACTCTGTCAAAAACTTAAAGAAGTAATCTTAAATAGAAACCTTGTAATTAGGAATGATAATTCAATAGAATACATGGAAAATAATTTCTGTATCTTTCAATATCTTGAAAAAGCAATTGTTTCACCTAGTGTTTCACAATTCTCTGCAGCATATTTCAACAATCCAAATATGAAAGAATTCGTTGTAACAGGCAACCAGAATTTTATCTCAATAGATAAAGTGATCTATACTTCAAATAATGAAACACTTTATGCATATCCTGCAGGATTGGAAGCTAATGAATTTACAGTACCAGACTTTGTGAAAACAATTAATCCATATTCATTTTCATATTGCGATAAATTGGAAAAAATTATTGTAAGTTCAAATATTTTATTATCAAACGGAATGTTTATATATTGCACAAGTGTGAAGTCAATAGAACTTAAGGCTCCTTTAAACTTCTTCCCAGAAGGCTGTTTTGCATTCTGCAGCAATTTGACTTCAATTGTTATCCCAGAAACATCTGTAGTAACTCAACTTTTCTCTCATTGTTTCCATGGATGTTTTAGTCTTCAAAATCTTAATTTCAACAATAAAATAGAACTTGTAGATTTTTCTTGCTTTGAAAAATGTATTTCATTAATAGATATTGATTTGTCACAATTAACAGAAATTTCGGAAAGTTGTTTCAGATTTTGCAGCCAGGAGAGAATTAATTTGCATTTGAGTGATAAATTAAGATCAATTTCCAAAAATGCATTTGAGAATTCAAAAATTGTGGAATTTATTTGCCCGAGGAATTTGATGTATATTGGAGATTATGCGTTTTCATATTGCATTGAACTTAAAATATTTAAGTTTAATGACAAAATAGCTCAAATAGGTAACAAAACTTTTAATTATGCTGGCTTTGATGAAATATTTATTCCAGATTCGTTAAGAATAATTCAACCGACAAGCTTTTGTAATCAGCATTATATTCAATTTACATTTAGCGAAGGTGGCCATCCAAAGTTTTATGTAGAAAACGATTGCTTTATGAATAAAGCAGGTGAATTAGTATTTATCATTCGGGGAGATAAAGTTGTTTTTGAGCTACCACCAAATGTTAAAATATTTGGCACAGGATCGATTAATGAATCAAATTACAATAGAATTGTAGTAAAATCAGATATTTCTGATTCTCATTTATTATATTCAGAGGAAGATAAATCGAAGCTTTGTGTTAAATCATTTTCAAATAATAGTTGCAATTTTAATATTTCGGATGTTAATAATATTGAAAGATATGCAAAAGAAGGAGAATATGAGCCAACATATAAATTGAGTAATAATCTTTATATAAAAGACTCATTTATTCACATATCAGAGTACATTACTGATTCATCTTATTACGAGTATCTTCCTCAGAAATCTTTTATTTTTAATGAAAATTCTAGGTTAAACTCTATACTTGAAGTTATTCTTTCAGTATTTGTTTCTTTCCTATTGATAATTATTATGATTCTTGCAATTATTGCACTTAAAGAATCACGAAAATCTGCTCATTAATCCCGATTTTAAAAAGCAATATGCTTAAAATAAAAAATAATTTATACATGCAAATTTTATGGAACGTTTTGAGAACAAATCATAGAATTATGTATTATGCGGTGATTTATAATAACCATTTACCTTAGAAAATTGATTAATATAAATAGCTGTGCCAAAAAATTTTGAGAAAACGTCAGCTATTAAGTCAACTCCAAATTTTTTCAAATACTCAAAAAATGGACAGATTCGATTTTAAATAATCGCTTTTGGGGCGTTTTTTGCACCCCATGTAAACACCAAAAAAAAAGATTTTCCTACAAGTGCAAAAAATGCACAAAAACGATTATTTTACATTCAAACTGCGCATTATTTGTGCGTTTATAAATATATCCGCGTAAAGTAGTCAAAAGATGTATACATTTTTTTCTTTAATATATTTTGCATATGCAATTGTTGATATATTTTATTAATGGATTTGATTATTTATAATAGTCAACTCCAAATTTTTTCAAATGCGCAAAAAATGGACAGATTCAATTATAAATAATCGTTTTTGGGCGTTTTTTGCACCACATGTAAAACACACAAAAAGTAAATATTTTTTTATAAATAAACAAACAATATTATTTTAATTTTGAGAGAAGTTAAATTCGAAATCCGAATCAGAGTCTTCTTCATTCAACTTCATAATCTTTTGTACTTCTCTTTTTTCGTCATCAGTCAAAATGATATCTCTTGTTATATAATTCTGGTCAATTTCAGGCAAAAACTGGGAAATCTCCATCACTTTTCCTCTGACAGACAAAGCACAAGTTAGAAACAGTTTCTGTCTTGCTCTTGTCATTGCGACGTAAAGAATTCTTCTTTCCTCATTCAAAGAAACAGACTGATCTCCAAGACCTGAATCATCAGAGTCTTTATCAGCCATTGGAAGTATTGACTGATTAAATCTCATAATGAAACAAACAGGAGACTCCAAACCTTTCATTTGATGAATAGTACTCAATGTCACTGCGTTTTTCATATTAGAACTCGTTGTTTCCAATGTAATAGAGTCAATAAACTTTTGCAGACATTTCTGGGAACTCAAAGGTGTTCCTTCATTTGCTGCCAACAGTCTGATGTGGAATCTCTTACTCTCTTCCAATAGAAGTTGGAATGTTTCGTTTCTATCATTAATCATGTCTTGGACAGCTTCAGAAAATTCATCCAAATCTTCTGAATTTTTTTCTTCTGAGTTTTCATCTAAATTACATAGTTTTGTTATCTCTATGATTGTTTCTAGCACTGTATCGGTACTAAGTGATGTATTGATTTGACAAATCTGACGATTTAATTTTCCAATAATTTGATAAAATTCAGCAAGTTTTTTTATTGTTGCTTTTGGAAAATCAGATTTTATTTTGGAATTTATTAATAATTCCAAATATTTTAATACATTCACTTTGTTCTTACTGGCTTCACTGGTGACCTGTGGAGCAATACACGCCCGTAACTGACGATCAGGTACATTCAAAACCATTTCAAAGGAAGACGATAAAAGTTGATTTGTATCGTTTTCTTCTGAACCGAAATTTAATAATAGTCTTGCGTAAGAAACTATCTCTCTTACTTCGGATCTCATGAAGAAACTGAGACCGCGCTTATTAGAGTATGGTATGTTTCTTCTGAACAGCTCCATTTCAAGCTCTGATGCGACTTTCTTCATCCGAAACATGATGCAAATGTCCCTGTACTGAATAGACGATCCTGGATAGACCATTCGCTCGATTTCCGTGCATATTGAGTCTGCCTCAGCATATGCATCGCTGGCACTAATGAATTTTATGGGATTTCCACCTGGAATCATCGAAATTAGCTCGGTTTCGTTACCATCGAACTTGATAATGCTCTGGGAGGCCTTTACAATCGATTCGCAGCTTCTGTAGTTCTTGGAAAGCGTTACATGGCCTGCATCTGGAAACATTTCTAAAAATTGTTTGATGTTGTCTGGGTTTGCGCCTCTGAAACTGTAGATACTCTGATGAGGATCACCTACAATGGTCACTCGTCGATTTGGAGGCTGCCTTGTCATTGATTGTTGTAAAATTAATTTTAATATTGCAAAATTTATGTCAGAAGTGTCTTGAAACTCATCAATTAGGATGTACTGGTATAGTTTGCGGTATTTGTATGCGACTCTTTGGTGTTTGAGCAGCAATTCTTGAGTATATGTCATAAAATCTGTAAAATCAATGAGACGACGCTTGTGTAATGTGTCCTCGTAAAATTTTAGTATGAATTGGAAGTCACCGAATAAATCTTGTGACTTTTTTCCCAGCATTTTTGCTCTATTTACAAAATTATGCATTTTGTTAGTGTAAATACGTAGAGAAGTAGGTGTAGAGAAGTCTTTTCGAGATGGATCTTTCTGTCTGAGTGCATTTACAGCGTTTTTGATGATCTTTCGCTGTTCTGTGTTGTCTGCAATGTGAAATGTTTGGTCGTTGCCTGAGAAACCGAGAATAAACGGGTTCTGCTTCAATATGTTGAGGCATAGTTGGTGAAATGTCGATGTAGTGACGCTGGAAGCCTTTGGTCCGATAAATGTTTTCAGTCTTTCGCGAATTTCGTCTGCAGCTTTCCTTGTGAATGTCATGGCAAGAATGTTTTCTGGATTCACGCCTTGATCAATCATGTACGCAATCCGGCAAATTAAAGTTCTCGTTTTTCCAGAACCAGCTCCTGCATAAATGAACAGTGGGTCCTCTATTGATGCCGTAACTGCTGCTCTTTGTTCCTCGTTCAAATCGTCGAGGTAACGTTGAGACATTTTTGAAAAAAATTGGAAAAGAAAAAAAAATACTTCACAGAGGAAGCAGTTTTTCCCTTTTATAAAAAGTGTTAGACCCTAAAATAAAATATTGGGGTGAAGAACTTTGGAAAATAAGTATAATGGATGTGACATTCCATCAGGAGGACAAAACGAAATCTTTACTCATTGTGGGCATGACTTTATTGTTATTATCCCTTCTCCAGAAATATGATTGTTTCGATAAAGTCATTCCATTTGCTTTGTATTTGATTACAAGCTTGTTTTCGATAAAGAACTTGGGCCATTTGAGATTTTTTTTTGGGCACTTTTAAAAAAATATGGGGAAAATGTTTGTTCGCCCTTTCTGATTGAGAAAAGAGGAATGAGGAAGCATCAGTAAAAAGCAAAAATACAATTTTTGAAGCTAACATTATTTTTATGTTAAAAGAAAGATTAATACAATTTCAGTAAATCAATTTTCATAAAGATAACATCCTGTAACGCATTCACCATGATAATAAAGACCATCCATGCAAGTTTCAATAATATTAAACTCTGCAATGAAATTATAAAGAATTGAATTCTGGAATATTGGAATTTGATATTCGTAATCTGTTTTGTCAGAATAACATTGATTCAATGTAATTGAACTTGAATGCTTATGACAATAAAATGTTTTCGTGCAAGAATTATTAATAATATTACAGCCTGTTAGAACTAAGGTACATTCGGAATGAATAAGATATCCATTTTGATTCCCGATATAATTTGAAGATACAACATTAAAGAGTTGATTTGGAATTCCATGATGAAAAGCAATATAATGCGTTTTTTGATAATTTTCATGGACATTAACAAAAGAAACCTTTGAGTCAGAAGAAAAACTATTGACCAAATACCCTGAATAGCCACCGAAAATATAATTATTAGTAATATTTGTGAATTCAAGGAGAATTTTCCCGTTATACTGATCATTCAATGCATTTGCTTGATTGATTTTTGAACCACATTGTGAAATTGATGTTTGTTTAACTGAATTTATATAATTTATAATATTGGATACAAATGATCGATATGCTGGACGGTCTTGAGCAAATGAGAATAAATAACAGTTTTTGTTTTGCGAAATTTGGCCTTTGTATCCAAAAGTCAAAGATCCTCCTTCATCGGTAGATAATGAGCAACTACAATTATAAAACTTACATGACTCAATGACTGCTTTAGTAAAGTCTGATGTTGATGTAATTCTGATGGCACCTTTAACTCGAAGTGATTCAAAATTACTTAATGAAACATAATATGCTGAATTATCGCTTTTTCAATATTGTAACGCTGATTATAATATGTTTGAGGAGATTCATAATCTGGAAATTCCTTATTCTATGCATTTTTCAATTTTTTGCATAAAAATTAAAACCATTTGACATTTTATTTTATCATACAGTTTTCCATCATGGGTTCTAAAATCCTATTTACTTTTTTAACATGTTATTGAGTACTTCACAAATTTTGAGAGATCTCCATGAAAAAAAGTTCAAAGCACATCATTAATGAAATTCACCTTCACTATATAGAAATGATATAAATAAACAATTTATAAAAACTCATAGTGGAAATTTTTGAAGAGATAATTCTTTTATAGAAGTGTTTAGTTATCTATGCAAATAATGATTGGCTATCCAGATAGAATATTCTTAACCATTATACGCAAAAGCATAGTTTTTTTTTTTTTAATGTAAATTTCGATGAGGAGTCAATCCACAACTCGAAATATAATATATCACAAAACTCTCCTTTCTTTGTCACTTCACTCGCATAAAAAGAGTATATCAATTGAGAATTAATTCATGATATTCTATGTTATGGATGTCGTTGTTGCTTTGATTTAGAAATACTTAGAAAAGTCAGTTAAATCACTGTATCTCTTTTTTATCTCATCCATTGTATATCCTCTGTATTCCAGGAAAGGTCCCCATTTCTTAGTATCCACCTCTTTAAATATGACTAATCACGTAATCATCCAAACTAAAGAAATCATTATCAGAGTGTATTAAATATATATACATCAATGATCCGAGTGTGTAATCATCTACATCCATCTTTTTAATCTTATCAAACAGTTCCCAAGCGAAATCTCTATATTCTTTCAATCCTTCAATTCTATAGAAAACAAACAGAGAAGAAAGAGTTGCAAAATATGGTTCTGTGTCTGATTTAATGTTCTCAAGATTTTTTATGATTTCGTTCAATGCCAATTTACTGTAATTCTTGTCTTGCTCTATTTTATGGTTCTTCTTAACCATGGCCATCATCATCGTTCCTGGCAAATAATAATTTCTATATTCATCTGTAACTTTATTAATTGGACGCTTCTCTCTTACATCATTGATATATTTAAGGAACAGTTCAATGAAATTAAGGCCAGCATCGCCAATTAAATGGTAAGATTTCACTAACATGTCCAAATAATAGTATTTCTGGTTTAATTCTGTTTCGTATTGATGGTCCCTTAAAATAGTCTTAAATCTCCTCATTGTATGCTGCATGTACTTTGGATCATCTGATAAAATTGATAATGTAATGAATTCTAATGGATAAATGGTATATTTCTCTGCACATTCTGAGTTTTCATATGAACTAGTTTTAGGAATTCCGTTTTCATAAGAAATTCTGACTGTATGAGAAAAAGTAAAATATGGTAAGGCCAAATCAGCAAATTCTTTGGCTTTGTATAAAAATGACATATTGTCTGTGAATTGGTATGCAGAAATGAAGTTTCCTACAACTTGTGGAATGAAATCTTCGATATAAAATGTTCCTTCAAGTGTAAAATTGGAAAAAATGATGTTTGTGCATTGGTGAAACTCTTCTTTGAGGTCAAGCATGCATAACGCGGATAACATCTTGATGATCGAAAGAGAATTTTTCTCTCTTTCAGATTTTGTTAGATTCTGATAATATTTATCTAATATTTTATGGGACAAATCTTTATAAAAGTCTTTAATTTGTTGTAATTTGTCGGGATAGCTTCTTATTTTTGTAAAATTTTCAATAAATTTTGTTGGATATGTTCGTTTCACGTAAAATCGATTTGTACCTGATTCTATAAGCTTTGTTGTCCATGGGTATCCTTGAAATTCTGAGATATCCAGGTTGATTGGAGTAATAATTCTTGATTTCAATGGTAATAGAGCAAGAAAGATAAATAGATAGATATTATATACCATCAAGAGGTCTTGAATGAAAGAATATCTATAAGAAAATCTCTGAAGAAAATGTTTGTAAGCTTTGGAAAACTTCAATCTTGATTTTGTATAGCCATCAAAGAAATTAAGCTTGCTAATACTCATGAAGTTGTTTAATATGAATCAATTTTCATAGAAATACTATGGATAATTAAGGAATATTATTGATAAAAATTTGTTTATCTATTTATGTGTTTTAAATATATTGACAATACTACATTTTGATTTTCGAGCACAATACAGCTAATAGATGAATCGAATTCACGAGATAATTATACGCAAAATATTATTTCGACTTGAGAGATCAAAATATCAAAGAATGGAGTCATTAGTTTGGTTGTAATAGTCTTATTCTTTTTAGTTTCATTAATTGATGTTGCTGTCATCCTTTAATAGCTTATTATAGCTTTAATAACAATGAAATCTTTTATGAAATGCTAGAAATGTATAATAAATTTAAAACAAATAATATTTATTCATCACTAAGATATTTTGCTGTATGTTCAATAAACAATGCTACTTCTGGCTTCTCAATCAAAGAAGAATCAGAAATATCTTCTACAATTTCATGAACAATCTCTAAAAGTTCATTATTTAATGATCCTTTATTCTCATTTAATACTATTATTCTTTCAATCAATTCTATGAAGTATAAGAAGTAATCAACACTTTCTATACAGTTTTTGACAATTTCACATATGAAAATATCATTTTGAATATCAATTCCTACAGATAAGTAATGAGTTAATGAATAAACAATATGAACTGAGCAATCGAATGGAATTTCTTCTAAATTTTGCAAAATCTGAATTATTTCTGACTCATTTGATTTGTCTTTCCAATACTCATAATTACTAACAAGCAATGATGCTGCTGCTTGTGCTGCTTTGTCAAATTCACAAAATTGAATGAAATTTAAAGTTGTTTCAAAAATTTCAAGTGGGGGATGAATCAGTGAAGCTATTTGGAATGCATATTGTGCTAACTTTTGATTGAAAGGCTGAATATATGACAGAATTTGTTGAATTAACTTTTCATTCAATTCAATGTCAGGCTTTAGTTCAATAATCTTTATTATTGTTTTCATTATTTTATATTTCGCGAGTTCATCATAAACTTCTAAATGATTGATTAAAATTTTGTATAAAATATCGATATCAAACATATCACAGTGGTCAAGCATCTTGTATATGACTTTAATTTGCTGGGATTTTTGGAACTAACTTATCAAGGAACTGATATATTGATTCAATTGAAATTATTTGAAAGAATAGTTCGCAGTACATTAATTTTGATACAATATGGAGAACATCTAGGGAGTTATCTTCGTTTTCATTGCATTTATCAATTAAAAGTTGAAGATTTTTGATAAAAATTTCATTTTCGATTAAAAAATTGATAGATTTGAAGTAACTAAAGCAAGAAAAGATATTCAATATTAAAGGAATAGATGGTTCAAAGGATAGAATTGATATAAGCAAGTCTACTGGAAATTCGAAATCTTGGAAATTATATTGAACGCAAAATGCAAAAAATTCTTTCAATTTGTTAATGTTTTGAAGAATTAAGTCCTGGGTATCAACAATTTGGCCAGAATTGACAATTTCTTCTAAACTATCAACAATATTTCGAAAATTACCTAGTTGGTGATATATTCATCCTGGATTGAAGATTCAGATTCTTTGCTAATTGAAGATTTCGAATTTTCAGCTTGTTCGTTAAATTTGTAATCTGAATCTATTTTTGTGAATAAAAAATATGATTCTCTCTAACTATATACGGTCAAACATCATATTAATAAAGCTATTTCAGTATAAATTTCTCTTCAATTTTATTTATTGATGTTATATTTTTCATATTGCTTCACTTTTCGTGATTTATGAATATTTCTTCTTCAAATAGGTTTTTCCTCGTCAAAATATGAATGTGTTACGCTTACATTATTAATTAAAAGCAAAACTAAAATGAGATTTTGAAAATTGGATGTAAAGAAAAGAAATATATTAAGAGTTATAAACAAATAATAAACATTTCTTTATAAAACAACAATTACTGAGCAATTAATTAAAATTAAGTTTCATCTTCTTCTTTTGGAATCCAAATAAGAAGATTTGACTTAACTGTCATCTTAGGTTGGTTAAATTCTGGTTGTGAACAAACATCCTTCCATTTTTCCTTAGAAACAATTAATTTGAACTTCATTTCTTTCTCTGACCAAATTTAGTTTTTTGAGGGTTTTAATGATATCCTTTCTATCTATAGCCGTCTCAACTACGATATCATCAATACTACTGATCTGATTTTCACCTTTTTTAAGAGCATTAACAATTGCATATCTCCAGTAGGTTTTGAATGCAATTTTGTCAAGATCTGACAATGGTGTCTCAGGGCCACCACTGCTCTTTTGTCTTTTCGCAAGTTCGTATGCTAATGAAATCAAAAGATGTCCGTATCCCTTTTTTTGAAAAGGAGGGAGGGTTGTAATGCATGCAAGGATATTCCCTTGCGAACTCTTTATTTCTCTGCTGAAGTATGCAGCCAAATGTGAACCAGAATTGTCGCATTCGCATAAAACGTAAAATTCGAAGCCTTCTACATCATAAAACAGAGTTTTATGATCAAGAAACAGTTTTGAAAGTAAGCATAAGTTCTGACATGGGATTTTTTGGTTCTTTCCTTTAAGTTCGTAAATTGAAAGATTTCCGTCTCTGTAAATTTCACGTCCTGGTGGATGAGTTTCGTTTAATTCGTGAATGTGATCTTGTAGATCCTTTTCTGAGGCAAAATATGTAAAGCAATGCTCACACATATAAATATGATCCATTTCGAAGTAAGGATATGGAAATGGAGAGAAGTACCATGTTCGCATAGTATAATTACCGATAGTTATCATATCAATGTTCCGAATTTTCGTAATTTCTCTGTGAACTTCTTCAAATTTAATTAATTCTGGTTGTTCTTCATCAGAATTATCATGAGATTTCTTATTTTTCGAATTCACATTTATCTGATCTGGATTCAGCCTAAGGGTCCCTATGTCAACCCAACGATCTAATCGTTTATCTTGATTTATGAAGTGAATATATGCTCGGGTGTCGTGACGACGGAAATCAATGATTTCGCCTTGTGCTCCGTCGGGAAAATCATCTGTTTTTGCTATAACATAATCATTTTTCTTAAATGTTTCACTCATTTGTCACTTTCTTGATTCAATGATGTTTTATATGCAATTAAATGGCGGTAATTCATTAGAGTTGTGTACTTGATGATGTGTTGGCAGAATTAGGATCAATTTTCGAATTTTTTCATGAATTTGTCAATTGATCTTCTCTTCTCAAAAATTTATTTCAGAAATATATTTAAAATTATTATAATGTTATTTCTACTCAAATTCATTCATTCAATTTTAAAAAAAGTCTCATCACACTTTTCAATGCTCGATTTTTAAAAACTGTTTAAAAATGGAGCTTATATTGAAATAGTGTAGAGACTAAAAATTACCACAGACTATTTCAGAGGATTGAGTTGCCACTCAATCCTCTGAAAAGTCTGAGGTAATTTGCAAAGTCTTTCATTGAAAAGCAACAAAATTCATCTGTCTCACAATTCTTTTTCAATTAATTTAGCTTTTAACCAATCCATTTGATAAATGCTATAAAAATTAAAAATTCTAAACTTTTTCAATTTAAACTCAAATCTTTAATTGTTACAAATACAAAATTTTTGCAACAAATGCCAAACATCGAATCAAGTTTAATTCTAGAAAAATGCCAATTTTTATCAAAAACCGTTTTTGAACTCGGATTTACATACAAATTTCTATGAAAATATATCTTTCTCCTGATATTTATTTTATACAGCTGCTGTTATAGATTCTTTAATGTTGTCATAAAAATCGCTATCTTTCATTTCCAAATATGCAAATTGAAATGCAAAACTCAAAAATAAATTTAATCGAATCACAATATTCTAAATATATATATTTATTCATCTTTGTGTATGTCATGCGTTATCCTGACCCCATATCGGACAGTAGACGAACATTAAATATTACATTAGAGTACGTTCCTTGGGAGAGTATTAGTTTTGTTTTTATTTTTGTTCTTCTAATCTTCTCTTTCTTTTCCGTTCTTATATTGAATAAATTTCGGATTTGTAAATTCAAATAACTCCTTCCAATTTGCAGAGCGTAAGTCAATGAAAAGACATTGTTTTTGTGTCCACATCTAACAAGTGTAGCGTTAATTTTTTGGAAATTTAATGTACTAATTAGAATATTTTTCAGTAATTCTTAACAATTATTAGTTGCGATTTGAGCCATTGGAACAACCAATTACCTTTCATACAGCATTACTTAAACAATACTATTAAAGTTTGAAACAGTAAAAATGTCATCCAAATCGTTCTGAAAATTCATAAATAAAATGCAATGAGAAAAAAAAAATTTTAAAAATATACAAAAATAAAAGTTATATTTCATCATCTTCTTCAACTTCAGCATCCAGATCAGTATCAAGCCTATCAACCTCATTAATTCTTGTAAGTTGTTTAGCAACTCCTGAACTCTCTCCTGCCAATTGTTCGAACACGTTGATTTTCTTCTTTAACTGTTCTTTAACAGCTGCAACTAACGCTGCGTGAAGTTCTGGAGGCATGTCTGCAGTTGTTATAGTCTTTTGCATTGCGAGTTGAGAGTTCTGTTGGTGTGTTTGTTCTTCCTCTTTTGCGCCTTTCTTGTTTGATCCTTTCTTTGGCGGTGGTTTCTTTGTTTCTTTGACTGATCTTTTGTGTTTTCTTCTTGTTGACTCCAACTCGTCTTCATTGGCATTTTCAGCTTGTTTCGGAGCAACGAAAGGATTTAGTTTGATGTCCCTTATGCTTGCTTCGTGGTTGAAAATGTCAGGAAGGTCTTCAAACATGGTAGACAACTGTACATAAGCAATGGAATAGGAAAGAGAACCTGCTGCGGACTGTGTCATGTTCATTCTCACAATTTCATTCACTTTTGATAATAAATGACGTTTCTTTTCTCCGTCTTGAACTTTCATTATCAACTTGGTCAATGATGTGAGTGAATAGTCCCAGAAACGCTCGAAACCTGTAATGCCAAGAGCGTCCCATGATTCTTCAGCAACAGCAAGTAAACTCTCATAAAGCGCCGGTGAATACTTCACGCCCCAAACGCTGTTGGCCGAGTCAAATTTCGGAGCTCTGTCGTCGACCAAAAGATCGCCTTCGATCTGCTCTTCGGTCTTGACATTGCGGCTTTGTGTGATTTGCTCAACACGCTCGAATACTGAGGCAAGAATCTCTTCAACGCAACGAGTTCGTTCGGATTCATGCAATGATTCGTCAATTGATTTACGGAATGAAGTGAGATCTGGTGGATCGACCTCGCAGCAGCCTCTGAGATGAATTGTAAGTGGTGAATCGCTTTCTGCGGCTGGAGTTGTGCGCATAACCCATCTCTGAGTGAAACAACCGGGTATGTCGCTCTTGAAAGAGAATGAGAAGGTCATGCTCTTGCCTGGTAAGATGGAACCACGTATCTGAGTGAAAAGAAATTCGGATCTCGTCTTAGGCTGCATATCTTTTGGCATAATGAAGCTATCGGAGATACGCCAGTCGAAATTGTCTGTAACATCGTTGTTTGGTGAGACTGGCTTGCGTAATGGTGTACGATTCGAGCCAGAACCGATCATAAGGTCAATATCATGGGCAAGCTCCCATTTGTAGTAAATTGCGGATGTTCCTTCGTTTGTGACTTCGACTGTCTTTGCTTGTGTAACTCCTGGCGTTGCACGGAAGAATAAACGATTTGTATCGATATTTGCTTTGACAACGCTCTTAACTTCCTCGGATTGTTCATGGTGCTCTTCAACAATGATTTCTGTATCACCCTGAACTTCTGGTAATTTTTCGAATATTTCTTCGTTGATTGGACGTCCTACAACAACCAATCTTGAAAAATTGGGCTCGAATGGTTTGATTTTTTCGATATGCGACTTGAGTTGTTTAGAAAGCTTCTTGTAGTATGGAGATGAGAACCATGAAAATGGACGAGCGCCTTTTGCAGCATCTACGGACTCTGGATTGCCAATAGACTCAAAGTTTGCAAGATTTGGCTTTTCTACTTGTGCGTAAAGATCTCCAATTCGTGGGTTTAATTTCCAAACTCCGGCATCTTTTGTTGAAAGTGCGTTGATGACTTGTGCTATAAGAAAACGTTCTTCATTTGTTCTTCTAAACATGTCATCACTGTTCATTGCTAATGTTGTTGGATCTCTACCGATTTTTTTAGCAAGATTATTTGCGATTTGATCCCATTTCTTTTGTGTCTCTTCATGAAGCTTCATAGCATTCTCCTCACGTGTTTTCTCGTGTGGACGAAACTCTACGAGCTTCTTCTTTCGATTGATTTGTGGTTTCATCATACTCATGTTTCTAATTTTTTTAGAAAATCCGTTATTACATGAACAGATAATATTTCTTCAAAATATTATTTGAATATTACTATATCACTACTGTATATCTGATTTTCGATAATATTTTATGATAATGACATTGATTTTGATTTCAAAATTTTATATTTAACATAAATATAGCAATTTGTGCTAAATTTATTACAAACACTTATTTTTAGAGTTTATGACCAAATATCAAGCTTCAAATTTAAAAATAAAATTCAAAAAATAAAATTCTAGTGCTTATCTAATACAATATACAAGGTCGGATGTTAATTTTCCAAAGTCTAATATTTTAATGAAGTAGAATTAAAATTCACATTCCAAAATAAGAATTCTTTGAAATTCGTAGATAATATACTATAATTTACATGACCATTAGAGCAACAATATGCTTTGCATATTATGATTAAGCAATAGGCAAATCAAAATTGAAATCAATTAAGTGATTTCAAGAACATTGGCAATTAACTGAGAAATAAAGGATTTTCGGGTGTGACAAAGAGTTTTTTCATAAAAGGTTTGCATTTACAGCCTAAGAAATAAGGATGTTATCATGATTTCCTCTTGTGTTGATATTTGCTTTCTCAGTATAAAAAGTGACAGTTTGAGATGAAATATGAATATCAATGATTTATTGAGTCATTTCAAAGATCCTGATGAGCTAGGTAAAATCATTGATGATGTAAAATCATCACAAGACAAGAATGATTTGTTTAATTTGATTTTTCAAGCAAGTGAAAAAATTGCATTGCCAGAAAGAATATATATACAAACCCTTCAAGATAATTTCAATGAAAAACTGTTACAACGTGCATTGTTAGACTATCCTTCATCATTAAATTTGATATTAATGAAATTAGAACACTCAGAAGACAAATTAAAAGTAATTAAAGATGCAATTACACAAATTGGAACATTCTCTCCTGAAATATGGGATAAATATCGAGAAATTTCTCCAGACAATTCAGATGAAATCTTCAAACAAGAACTTTCATGTTTAATAATCGATAGAGACGTTATAGAAATGGAAAACATGGATTTGGATGTTGAATTAAACGAAGATTCTCAAAAAATAATCGATTTATTGCAAATCCATCATTTTGACTTTACAAAAATATCCACTGCGATAGCATTTGTCCGAGACTTTCCATCCATTACTAATTTCGAATGGTGTTTAAATTATCATCCTTATAATCAAACAATTTGGCAGAGTTACTTGACCATTTACCCCAATGATAAGAATATATCGGATCGCTCCATCAGATTCTGCTTTAAATCAGGCAGAATTTGGGCAATGAGATTATTATTTGATCAAAACATAGATTTCAACAATTACAAATATATAGATAACGCCCTTGATGGCCGTATCTTAATTGGCAAATTATGCAGCTTAGATCCAGAAAATACAGAATTTTATGTAAATAACATCTTAAAACTGAAAGTATTCCAAGAAACAGATTGTTTTGTTACAGCTTGCATCATATTGGATGAATACTACATCGCAAACAACAAAAAATCTGAAAGAAGAAATATTTTATTTAATTTAACAGAAAAATTCCCTCAAAGATCAGATTTATGGCTCAGAAGGATTGAGTTTGAGCGGAATTTTGAACCTAACATAGAAAATGTCCGGAAAATCTATGAAAACGCGTTTCGAATTTTGCAAAACGACAAAAGCCGTCTGATTGACTCCTGGATGGCTTTTGAAGCTGAGAGGGGTAATGATTTCGATAGGATCTTGCTTTGTTTGACTGAACTCGAAGCAGAAAAGGAATTAAATAGTAAGAAAAACGAAATTTCAGAAGATCATGACAATAAAACAGTTTTTGTAACAGGATATGATTCAAATACAACTACGCGAGATGATTTATTCAATTTCCTAAGCGAATTCGGTGAAATCAAGCGTCTAACAATGAAAAATAAATTTTCATTCTGTGAATACGCGAAAATAGAAGATGCTGACAATGCTATTAAAAACTGTCAAAACAAGCTGTTCAATGATGCCAAGGTTTCCATCTCACCCCATGTAAATAAGGAAAAACATACTTTGTACATTAGATACGATCCAAAAAGTGACATCCAAACTTTGGTAAATTTCTTGAAACAAAAAAGTGGTGTTAATAATATTACTTATAGGTTTGCCAAAAACAATAAAGATGAAATTAATGATTCTGGACTTGAAAAAAGAGGCTGGGGCTTTTTGGACGTAAATTCAGAAACAGATGCAAATAAATTATTGTTGATGAATGGAAAACTGTTTAACAACTTCGCATTGAGGGTAGAGATAGCAAAACATAATAAAAAAGAGGCATTTGATATCAAAAAATCAAAACCCCCTAAAATTCCTCAGCCAGCTCCTAAAGTATACAATAAAGAAAAGAATGATGAAGAAGCCAAAAAGCTTTTTGGGTTTTAATCTTGCAAAAATAAAAAAATGATTTGATTTATTTTGTTTTTTATTAACTCAAACTATGTTTTCTTTTTCATATGTATGTATGCCTGTATGCATTGATTCATAGATATATATGCAGTTTATATTTGTGAAATGATAGAATCAAAATCAGTGTTTTAAAATAGAAATATAACAAATGGACCTGGTCTTATGCAAAATAATCAATTCGAGCTTTATAAGTCTTTTCTGAAGATGCTTTCGAAATCAATTTTTTTTGGGAACAGAGCATACGAATTAATCCTAAAGGGCGATACATAATGGAGTGTTTAAAATGCCGGGCTGAGGTGGCTTTTTTATATTGAATTGGCATGAAAATTTTGTATTGATAACTTCACTTTTGTCACGTAAATCATTAAAAAATTGTATCTCTTTGTATAATAATTTTATAACGAAATGGTCCATTAAAATATCATATTCTTGATAAGGTCATCATATTCGTGCAATCTAAATCAAATATGGTTTCAAATTAAAAAAAAATTATTGTTAAAAATGTCTCATTTATTGTAATGTAATAGTATACCATATGATGTCACATTTAGCAATCACTTTCGTTTGCATTATTTTGCAATTTCTCATGACAACAATTGCATTTTTATGCGCACTCAAAGAAGAAGAAGAAGCAATCTCTAAGAAATTCCAAGAAACATGTGAAGCTAAGGTCGAAAAAATCAGTTCTTATACATTTAAAGTGTTTACTAAAGGTAATGTAAAAATTATTATCACAATTTGCGGCTGTGGCAAAGTTAACGCCTCAATCACTGCAACACTTACTATTGTTACATACAAACCAGACTATGTAATCAACTGTGGCGTTGCTGGTGGCTTCGATAAACAACAAAAGATCCTCGACTGGGTCATTTCTACGAATTTTGTATATCACGATGTTGATATAGAATGCTTGGGATTCAAACCAGGCCAATTACTCGGAGAACCAACCGAATTTGATGCATCTGCAAAATTAGTTAATTTAATAAAAGAATTGGAGAAAGAAAACAAATTCCCAATGAACATATTTTATGGAACAATTGCATCTGGCGATCAATTTGTTTCAACCGATGATCAAGTCCAGAGAATTCAAAAGAAGTTCCCATCAGTCATCTGTGTCGAAATGGAAGGATGCGCTATAGCCCATGCTTGTAGCAAATTTAATGTTCCTGTCCTTGCAATTCGTGCTTTATCTGACATTGCCGTTTCTGAGCATGATAACTCAGTTGATTTCACAAGAACATGTGTTGTTGCCTCTGAAAGAGCTGCAAATCTTGCTTATTTGATTGTAGAAAATTTCAATGCAAAATAAAAATGCAAATTCTGTCTTAGGTATTAAACTTATATTTCTGTTATTTCAAATTAATTGGAGCATCCAAAATTTATAACTTTTGCAACAAGACCCAAAAAATGATCAATATTTAGTTTTTTGATTTGACTTTTAATTTGAGGATTGATTTCAACATAACTGTGAAAAACAAAAAAATCTCGATCACCGGGAATCGAACCCGGATCAAAAGAACGACAATCTTACATGATAACCATCACACTATGACCGATTTCAGAAATATTATTAATTCATATATCCAAGATAGAAGTGAGATAATTTTGCATCTTGTCCACCTTTCGTCCAACTTAAATAATTTATTTAGAAACAACTAAACAAAATAGATAAAAATAAATAATGCAGCAAGGTCCGGAAAGACCTAAAAAATCGAAATTACCGAGTGGATTTTTGATATAACTCATTAATTGAAAATTATGAGATATTATAATTAAATTTTTCACATTATCAGAGATATAAGGAAACTAGATCCAAAAATAGAAAACTCCAAAAGTCAAAGTTACGATTTACTAATGAGAACAATTATAAGAGAAACAAGTAGCTAAAAATGAGCATCATTTGATATAACAAACAATTACTTATTCATTAGTTTCTGTAATGTCTATTCGAGGAGAAATTCTGCTTGATTTGGATGAACGTTTATAAGTTTTTAGAGTAAATAGTTGAAGAATTTGGAGTTCCTAGCATGAGTATGTTAAGTGGACAGTAGAGAATTTGGGTAGCAATGCATAACGGTTGCAATATTTTCGGGTAATTCAGAATAGAATCTGCTTGAGCATAAAGAGATGCAATATTATTGCATTTCTAATCATTAAAGCCATGTATCTTGTGATTTCAAAGCGTGTTGTGTCTCTGTTCCGCTTACTAAAAATGTAAAAAAAAATTGACGATTATCCACTCATTTACAAAACAAAAAGGAAAAAAAAATTAAAATGAATTGAAATAATCATGAAGAGAAGGTGCCTCTTCAATTAAAATGCACATATTTGGAACATCATTGTAGAAATGACGTAATCTACGTGTTGGAGAATCATTTTCAAGAAAATGACTCAAAGTTTGGATAATATTTTGGGAATAATCTCGAAAATCATTTGCTATTGATTGTATGAATTGTAAAAAGAATTCTCTATCATTGTCGACAACCAAACAAATAAAATTGGCTAGTAATTCTGACATTTTTCCATTTGCTACAGAATTAATGGCCAAAACAAGGTGTTGACGTACATTTGAGTATTCTAATGGTGCTAGTTGACAAAGAATGCTACAAGAGATGTCAATGTCCGTTGTTTCGCTAGATAAAAATAATATTCTCAAAAAGTAGATAATTTCTGGGTAAATCTCAGACAGAAAAATCTCTTTTGAGTAATACGGAACGATGTAACTCAGAAAACTTGCAATTGAATGCAAAAGTCGTGGAAATGATAACAATGAAATTTTTGAAGTCATGGAAAGGTATTTCATGACAATCTGTAGGAAATCCATGATGGATGAATCATTATACAACTTCAGGATCCCGAAATTGACACGAGGAACTGAAATAATTGAATTAATTATTTCCAAAACTTCTGAAAACTGAATCCAATATTCGTCAGCATCAGACGTCACGTGGTCGACCATTGTATCATTATTTGAGGTCATAACTGATACAGAAACGTCATATTTGAAAATTGTTTCGTCAATTTCGATTTTTTGAAGGTTTTTCGAGATCTGGTTCATTATATTCGTCAGTAACGAGAACATTGTCTTTATAAAAGTGTATTCCGGCTTCCTGTGCTCAAAAAACGGGTTTGATTTTGGGAAATTTTTTGTCATTGTATGTAAAAATCCCAAAAGTAGAGAATATTCATCAGAATTCGATATTTCTACAAAAGAATTGACCAGGTTATCAATAGAAAACAAGTAAAGCTGCTTCCACTGTTCAACAGACAAAGATCCGCAGAAAAAGCCTGTCATCATGTGCAGAATGAACTGGAATCGTTCTAGATCTGCATTTCCTTGTAATTCGTCGTGGATTATGTTGAAAAACTGGGTTTTTGTCGTTGAATTTTGAAACATTATTTGCATTAAAGCCATGTAAATGATTTTCTTGGGTGGAAGGTCTTTAAATGTCTTCAGAAAGTCCGATGGATATGATGTTTTGCATAAATATTCCATTGATTCGTGACAATTTGTAAAATCAAAAATTGCTTTTTTAATTTCGGTTTTGAAGAGTCCAAATGATATGTCATTGATATATCTGTTGAAGATCTTCGCGGCAATAACTTCCTGTGGAATTTCAAGTTCATTATTTAATAAATTGAAATTTCCAAGTGAAAAATAGAATGAAATATATGAAACCATGGTATGAATCAATATAGATTCGAATGTATCGTTGATTTGTGCAAATTCTGAGATTTTTTCTTGAGAATTATCAATAATTTCAATTAAAATGTGAATTGAAAGGAAAACAGGTGTTTTATCATTGTATTTCTTGATGTTTGTAAATATAGATTGAATGATAAGTAGTATTATTGAAATTTCACTTAAATTTTTCTGATTAATTTGAGATTCAAAAATTTGACTAATTTTTTCGGTTAAATTTTGTAAAATCTGTTGTAAAGTCTCTTGTATCAACATGAAAATTATTGAAAATGATTCAATTGTTTCATCTAAAAATTCTTGACATTTATTTGCAATTTTTTCGGGTAATTCCAGTAGTATTGATGCAACACTAAGTGCTACTTGTCGTATATCGTAGTATTTTGCTATATTTATCAAAAATTTTGAAATATTATTCAAATGTATTAAAAATAGCTCTGAATTTTGATTTTGGAGCTGTAAAAGTGATTGCAATAATATATCTAATAAGTTTGGAATCAGTTCTTGGTTATTTTCCATATTTAAAAAAATTAAAATTTTTCCAACTTCAAAAACTGTTTTTGAATCAGTAAAATAGGAAGGATTCGATAGAATAGACATGATACAATCCAATATTTGTCCCTGAGTGTTTTCCTGTGAAGAGAAATCGCAAATTTGAAGTAATAATTCTAAAGTTCGAACGCAAACGTATTTATCCATTTGCATGATCAATCCAAGAAGTATTGGGTTCTGTAGACTTTCTAAAAGTGTATTTGATAAATATTGTTTCTGATTTCTAAATTTATTTCCAAAATTTAAAATATTTGTGAGTAAATTCAAGAACCCTTCGCGTTGGTTTAATATAAGGCTTATACATATTCGAAATAATTGATCTAAATACGTTTGCGCGAAAGTTTTGATTAAATTTAAGTGAATTTCTTGGGAAATTTCTTTGTATGGCTCGCAAAGCTCATGTAAAATATCTGAGTAAAGCTGAATATCGAAGTCTGCAAGTGTTTCTAAGTCATCATTGAATTGAATCATCCATTGATCGTGATGTATATACATTAGCTTAATATTTTTAGCTAAAACATAGCTTAGCTTGTTAATACATGCGATATCTTCTAATTGTTCTATGGGTAACTGCATAAAAAAAATCAAAATATCTTCAACTGGAAGTCGAAAAAAGCATTTTTGTAGAAATCCATCGATAAGTTCTATTATCAGAAGAAATACTTGAGCGCTAACAATATTATTAGCGGGTATATCCATTATTGAGGAAATATTTAACCCTGGATTTGCCAAAACTTCTTTTTTGCGTCTAGAAATCAGAAAAATAGTTTCTTTAGATGGGGAACTTAAATTTTGTACCATTGATTCTAATTCCTCAAGTGTAATTGGATTCATTTTTCTAAAAATAAAAATTAAAAATTGTAATGTCAAATGTTACAATAAATTTGTAAACTGGCAAAATTTTTAGTTGTTTAGTGTTTCAGATAATTGATCAGAAATCATAACAATCTAAGTAAATTTAATCGTTGCCTCCTCCACTGGCGCTCTCCGGTGGAGTTATGGTCACCAAGTGGCGCCATATATTTTCCCTCCATTGTTCCATGTTTCAGAATGAAAATAAGTTATTCCAAAAGTTTCAAGATATTTAAGGTTTCAGAATGAAAATAAAAACGACGGTTTCAAAATGAAAATAAGTTATTCCAAAAGTATCGACAAAAAAAATATTTAATGTCCCTTGAGATATATATTCTATGATGTATATCAATGCTATATTTATCATTATTTTTAATTTTTATTGACCCACCCAAAAAAAGCCTTCTTCCAAAGGTTGACGATTTTTAACATAGGTTTATTCCTAATATTACTAAATGAATATTTTATTTATTACAATTTTGGTCGCTCAAATTCAAAAACTATAAAATCTTGAGAGTTGGAGTACATCTCCAAGGGGTTTTTCTTGCCGCCAATGGTATTTTCCGGACACTATATAATAGGTGCGGTACATACATGTGTTTTTGTTGTATTTGTAGGATTGTTGATTGGATCTCCTCAGAAGGTAATTCTGCTTTTTCGAAAAATAAAGATGAGTTCATAGATTATTTTGAAGGTTTAAATTTCTGTTTCTAAGTGATGCTATATTTTATAATCAAATAGGTTTAACACAAATCTCAAATGGATAGTGTTTATTTTTAAGACAAATAATTGAACTTCAATAGATATTATTTTTGAATATTTTATCATTACCTATAATTATTCTTTATTCTGTTTTGTCTTCCAAAAAGTATTCTTTCACAGAACCTCTTGCAACATCAAGAGCAGTCCATCCATTATTATTCTTTGCTTCTTTATCAGCTCCAACAGAGATAAGATATTTAACAATTTCAAGATGATCATTTTCTGATGCAAAAATGAGTGGAGTAGATCCAGTATTATCCTTTGCTTCTTTATCAGCTCCAACAGAGATAAGATAATTAACAACTTCAAGATTACCTTGTTGTGATGCCCAAATGAGTGGAGTATATCCATGATTATCCTTTGCTTCTTTATCAGCTCCAACAGAGATAAGATAATTAACAACTTCAAGATGACCATTTCTTGATGCACAAATGAGTGGAGTATATCCATGATTATCCTTTGCTTCTTTATCAGCTCCAACAGAGATAAGATATTTAACAACTTCAAGATGACCATTAGATGATGCTTCAATGAGTGGAGTCCATCCATTATTATCCTTTGCTTCTTTATCAGCTCCAACAGAGATAAGATATTTAACAACTTCAAGATGATCATTAGCTGATGCTTTAATGAGTGGAGTATATCCATGATTATCCTTTGCTTCTTTATCAGCTCCAACAGAGATAAGATATTTAACAACTTCAAGATGACCATTAGATGATGCTTCAATGAGTGGAGTCCATCCATTATTATCCTTTGCTTCTTTATCAGCTCCAACAGAGATAAGATATTTAACAACTTCAAGATGATCATTAGCTGATGCTTTAATGAGTGGAGTATATCCATCATTATTCTTTGCTTCTTTATTAGCTCCAACAGAGATAAGATATTTAACAACTTCAAGATGACCATTTTCTGATGCAGAAATGAATGGAGTAGATCCAGTATTATCCTTTGCTTCTTTATCAGCTCCAACAGAGATAAGATATTTAACAACTTCAAGTTTACCTTTTTCTGATGCACAAAAGAGTGGAGTATATCCATGATTATCCTTTGCTTCTTTATCAGCTCCAACAGAGATAAGATAATTAACAACTTCAAGATGACCATTTCTTGATGCACAAAAGAGTGGAGTATATCCAGGATTATTCTTTGCTTCTTTATTAGCTCCAACAGAGATAAGATATTTAACAACTTCAAGATGACCTTCTCTTGATGCCCAAATGAGTGGAGTAGATCCAGTATTATCCTTTGCTTCTTTATCAGCTCCAACAGAGATAAGATATTTAACAACTTCAAGATTACCTTGTTGTGATGCCCAAATGAGTGGAGTATATCCATGAGTATCCTTTGCTTCTTTATCAGCTCCAACAGAGATAAGATATTTAACAACTTCAAGTTTACCTTTTTCTGATGCACAAAAGAGTGGAGTATATCCAGTATTATCCTTTGCTTCTTTATTAGCTCCAACAGAGATAAGATATTTAACAACTTCAAGATGACCATTTCTTGATGCAGAAATGAATGGAGTAGATCCAGGATTATTCTTTGCTTCTTTATTAGCTCCAACAGAGATAAGATATTTAACAACTTCAAGATGACCTTCTCTTGATGCATAAATGAGCGGAGTTCCATCATACGAGTTTGCTTCTTTATTAGCTCCAACAGAGATAAGATATTTAACAACTTCAAGATTACCTTCTCTTGATGCCCAAATGAGTGGAGTAGATCCAGTATTATCCTTTGCTTCTTTATCAGCTCCAACAGAGATAAGATATTTAACAACTTCAAGATTACCTTGTTGTGATGCCCAAATGAGTGGAGTATATCCATGATTATCCTTTGCTTCTTTATCAGCTCCAACAGAGATAAGATAATTAACAACTTCAAGATGACCATTTCTTGATGCACAAATGAGTGGAGTATATCCATGATTATCCTTTGCTTCTTTATCAGCTCCAACAGAGATAAGATATTTAACAACTTCAAGATGACCATTAGATGATGCTTCAATGAGTGGAGTCCATCCATTATTATCCTTTGCTTCTTTATCAGCTCCAACAGAGATAAGATATTTAACAACTTCAAGATGATCATTAGCTGATGCTTTAATGAGTGGAGTATATCCATGATTATCCTTTGCTTCTTTATCAGCTCCAACAGAGATAAGATATTTAACAACTTCAAGATGACCATTAGATGATGCTTCAATGAGTGGAGTCCATCCATTATTATCCTTTGCTTCTTTATCAGCTCCAACAGAGATAAGATATTTAACAACTTCAAGATGATCATTAGCTGATGCTTTAATGAGTGGAGTATATCCATCATTATTCTTTGCTTCTTTATTAGCTCCAACAGAGATAAGATATTTAACAACTTCAAGATGACCATTTTCTGATGCAGAAATGAATGGAGTAGATCCAGTATTATCCTTTGCTTCTTTATCAGCTCCAACAGAGATAAGATATTTAACAACTTCAAGTTTACCTTTTTCTGATGCACAAAAGAGTGGAGTATATCCATGATTATCCTTTGCTTCTTTATCAGCTCCAACAGAGATAAGATAATTAACAACTTCAAGATGACCATTTCTTGATGCACAAAAGAGTGGAGTATATCCAGGATTATTCTTTGCTTCTTTATTAGCTCCAACAGAGATAAGATATTTAACAACTTCAAGATGACCTTCTCTTGATGCCCAAATGAGTGGAGTAGATCCAGTATTATCCTTTGCTTCTTTATCAGCTCCAACAGAGATAAGATATTTAACAACTTCAAGATTACCTTGTTGTGATGCCCAAATGAGTGGAGTATATCCATGAGTATCCTTTGCTTCTTTATCAGCTCCAACAGAGATAAGATATTTAACAACTTCAAGTTTACCTTTTTCTGATGCCCAAATGAGTGGAGTATCTCCATCATTATTCTTTGCTTCTTTATCAGCTCCAACAGAGATAAGATAATTAACAACTTCAAGATGACCATTTCTTGATGCACAAAAGAGTGGAGTATATCCAGGATTATTCTTTGCTTCTTTATTAGCTCCAACAGAGATAAGATATTTAACAACTTCAAGATAACCATTTTCTGATGCATAAATGAGTGGAGTATATCCAAAATGATCCTTTGCTTCTTTATCAGCTCCAACAGAGATAAGATATTTAACAACTTCAAGATGACCATTTCTTGATGCAGAAATGAATGGAGTAGATCCAAATTTATTCTTTGCTTCTTTATCAGCTCCAACAGAGATAAGATATTCAACAACTTCAAGATGACCATATATTGATGCATAAATGAGTGGAGTATATCCATGATTATCCTTTGCTTCTTTATCAGCTCCAACAGAGATAAGATATTTAACAACTTCAAGATGACCTTCTCTTGATGCACAAATGAGTGGTGAATCTAAAGATTCTACTTTATAGTTACCACCTTCTATAAGAGATTTAATAAGTCCGAGATTTCCTTCTTGGCATGCTTGATTAAGGTGAAAATTTGAAAACATTAAAATTTTTGACTAGTAAAAAAAAATGAGAGTCTCTCAAATAACTCAATTATGGACGTGCCATTTTTTTGAAAAATGTCCACCACTCCATCCGCTCCAATGTGATGTTATAAACAGAAATTCATGAAAAGTGACACCTCTGAAATTCTAAAATATTCAATTTTTTTCGCTTTTGAATGAGCACGTTTTCAAAATTTGGTGATAATATTTTACTATGTGTTTTTTTCAATTGTTTTAAAATAAAATTAAATTTTCAATATCTTATCAAAATACTTTTGAAAAATAATATCAATTAAACCCATATTATTTTAATAAATAGAATTATTTTATAACAAAAAAATAAATTGAGTACATGCTCAAGGGCTAACAAAATGTTTAAATTATCCTAAAAGAATAGCGCCAACATATTTGTTACCTCTCATAATGCTGTATGGAGTATCGAATTTTTGTCTGAATTCGAAATATTTTAAAATATACGAATTTTTGCAGACTTTTCAGAGAATTGAGCGGGAGCTCAATTCTCTGAAATAGTCTGTTAAAATTTAGTATCTCTGCATTATTTCAATATAAGCTCCATTTTTAAATAGATTTTAAAAATCGAGCATTGAAAAAGTATGCAGAGATTTTAAAATTTATTACATTTGAGTCTTTTAACTCAAATGTCATAAATTTCAATTCTTAACATGAATTCAAACGCTTTTTAAAATATTTGATAATCTCATTCATTGCTCTTAATTAAATTCAGAAAAGTAATTTTCCTTGATTATTTGAAAAGTAGTCAGAAAAGTAATTATTATGTTATGATAGTAGTATTTGTTCATTCGTCATATTTGGTATTTACTTGAGTATTTTACTTAAGTAATTCGCCATTTGGCGAAACGTTTTTTAAATCCCTACTCAATTGGAATAAATTTTTCATTTGATATAATCTAATTTGGGGCCTCAGTTGGCTAGGCTTGCCCTTCGGCCAAGCCTAGCCAACGTCGGCAAAATAAATATATTTTAATTATAAGAAATGAGTTTAATCAAATAAATTTGAATGTAAGTGATTATTATATTTGAAAGATAATTATGTAAAACATAAGATGGATTTTTTAGCCAAAATATTTTGAGATTTTAGAGATTTTTCGAAAGTAAATCATTTATTAAGAATTTGTTTTGAAAAGAATACACTTCGATAAGACATTAGATCAGTTTGTTATTTGACAAATTTATGTAATGATCTTTTTGTTTTGAGAAAGTATTTTGGAATTTATGTAATTTATAAGGATATTTAGGAGCTCTAAAGTTAAAGGTTAATTAAGCATATGATGACAAAGAAATTATTATAGATGAAAATCTATAATTTTAGAATTTTCCAAATAAATCTGTAACTAAATGGACATATTGTGAATCATTTAAGGTACAATAGAGCATCAATGAGACATTAGATCAATGTGATGCATTAGAAGTTTGTGCGGAAAGTCTGGTTAAGAAAAGATGAAAATTATCTGGCATCATTTGGTCGAAATTGGATGAGTATTGCATAAAATAGAGGAGTAAATGATTAACTCAGCACATCAATCATTTATAGTTAGTTCACTTTTTCCTGGAAAAAAAAATAGAACTTCAAAGACACAAAACGGTTAGAAGTTTATTAAAAAAAATGAGTCAAGATTCAGCAGCTCTTGAGGAGTTCGGTAACCAGTTTGTTAAATGGTATTACAATAAGTTCAATCAAGTTAAAGAAGATATTATTCCACTTTACAGACCTGAGTCTCTTGTTACATTCCAAGAAAATATGATCACAGGATTAATGCCAAATGGCCGTCTCAGTATTGAAGATAAGATTCTTTCTGAGAGTCTTAAATATATGATGAAGTCACCAACAACTTGGACAATTCAGCCATCTATTTCTAACACAGTTCTTATCTGCGTCCAGGGTACATGCAAAATGACACCAGAAGAGGCTGAAGAACTTGGTTTCTTCGAGAATTTCATTATTGGTATGGAAGAAGGCAATTTCGTCATTTTGAACCAGATCTTCTCAACATCATCTGTCTAAAAAGATTATTCAATAAATAGATATTTAATTTCTCGAATTACATGAAAGAAAAAGATATTTGTTCTTTATTTCGTAATTTTATTTTAATTTTTTTCAATGTTTTTGTATTTGTTCGATTGTGTCTTAAAAGTTATCTCCAATTGTTTGTATTTGGTCAAGAAAAAAAGTTGGAAAATTAAATTATTCTATAATATTTTTAAATCAACAGAACAACAAACAAAACTATAATATATCGCGGGATTTATGTTTTTTGTAAACTTCAATTGGCCGAAAAGCCTTTGTAAAAACTAAAAATTAAGAAATTTTGAAACAGCGTAATATCTACGAGGTATTTCTAAAAGAAATTCACCTACATGGTCCTTCCATATCATCCGTTAAAATAATCGATTTGATTTGGATGAAATGTTTGAAAAGGAAATAAATAAAAAAAAATTAAGTAATAGAAGCTCTAGTTATTTGTACATCATCGTCTATTCCAAGAACATCGACTATATTGTCTTCAACAAAGTCCATTAGCCTCTTATCCTGTACCCAAATTGAAATAATTGCTTCATTATATTTTAATGTAAATCCAGCAACACCTTTATCAAGCCGACCGCCTACACCGGCAAATATTAATCGTTCCCATTGGTATAATAGTAATTCTTTCGGAATTGGAATCATTAATATTCCTCCATTCTCCAAATTCGGATCAAATGGATCCATTTTAAATGACTTATTGAAAAATCCTACTAATAAGTCAGGTACTTCGTTCGGTTTTTTTAGATGAGTGTATAAATCCCAAAATTGTTCAAGAGATTCGAACCTACCGAGTGTGTGTAAGCCAGCCTTCTCTGGCTCTTCTTCATTCTCTATTTTATAGAACACTGACCATATAAGCGATAACGGATGACTCATTTCGTATTTCTTATCGCTTTCTGTGTCACTTTTAGTGTGAAATTCATCAAAAAAACAGAATACAATTCAATATCATTTGAGAAGAGTCGGTCTATGTTTCTTTCTTCATGAACATTCAGAAGGATACTTCCACAAAACGCAACGTCGTTACATCAAGTATTTGATCTCTTATTTCCATGTAGTGATAGCTCTTATTTTTACGCCATAGTGAGGATAAACTAATATTTGATTCGTGGAAAATCAAGTGTGGTTTGTTATTGCATTTATACAATTAAAAACATTTGGATAATTGCGAATTAAAATCAAAATGTGTGATATTTGAGAACATCTCAAATTTTAACTAGTATTATTCGAAAATATGAAATTATAACGGGAAAACCTAATCCATAAAAGATCATTTTTAATTTGAGAAATTTGAATTTGTATTTTGATGAAATATTTGAATCAATCTCTTCACATGCAGATGAATATGTATTTAATTGATCGTCTTTTAAAATTTATTCGTTATTAGAGATTATTTAAATCTCATTTCACAATTTGCTTTTGAAATATCATTAAGCTTCTCTTAATCTGTTTTGTAAATGGTATCTTAGAGGAGTGATCTAAAAAAGTATAGTAATGGGAATAAAAACAAATTTTACACAGAAGGATTAAGAATCAATTGCCAATTTCTATTGTATTCATGAGCCAAAACTTCAGGAGATCTGCCAAGAGTATCAACTTCTTTAATCGATGCGTTATTTTCGATTAAGTATCTAGCAATATTTGTATGGCCGTATGCAACGGCAAAATGAAGTGGAGTCCATTTGTATTGCGCTGTTTGATTTATGTTAATACTTAGCTTACTTGTGATCAAAAATTTAACAACATTAAGATGTCCGCGTGCTGCTGCGACATGGAGAGCAGTTTGGCCTGTTAAATCGGCTTTATTAAGTGGTATATTTCTTGTTTGAAGATATTGAAGTATTTCTACCCATCCTCCGTATGCAGCCCAATGAACGCATGAATATCCTGATGGAGTGTCAACATTCAAATCTGCTCCACATTCTGCAAGATATTTTAAGCAGTCTACCGATCCAAAAGCTGCTGCTGCGTGAACTAAATATCTAATATCGTTGGATTGATCAGAAATAGCAGCTTGCTGTGGAACATCACCTTTCAGAAGCTTTTTGAGAGCATCAACATTCCTGTATTTAATATATCCCCATGCTAATTCTAAATCTGACTGCATTAAATAAATTGACAAATTGTCAAATTTGCTCTGAAATCACTTGGATCTTTGTTCAATGATACATAATTTCTACAAAGTTATATTGTGCGTTTCATTCTCTCTGCCTGAGATGAATATTGCAAGAAATGAGAATATTTTCACACAATATTGGAATCCACTGAAGAACCAATATCTTTTTGGCTCATAATTGACCACAGAATTATTGGACCTAATGGATATTGTTAAATAGCTCAATTGTACACAGCATTTTATTAGATTTCAATTTGCTTTTGTAGGTTTCGTAAGATACTGCATAATGAGCCAAACTTATTCCTAAAAATAAGCATACAACCGATTTTTTGAGGCATTCATCCCTTATTTGATGTGATTTATGCGATTATGAAGAAATTAATGGAAATTCTTATTGAAACTATAGAATGAAAACATTCTTTTATTACCACTTTGAATTCTTCATCCAATTTGCCATTTTGTGCAAAAAAAGGGAAAAAAATGCATCAAAATCATTATATTATTGTTTGAAAATGTTTTAAATCTAACACATATTCGCATTTGAGAATAAAAGAATAGTTTAAACTCAAAGATGATGTGATCACTCAGAAAAAAAACTGGGGATGATTTTGTAAATTTTTGATTGAACACTTATAAATTTATAATGTCTCAGGATTTCGATGCTGGCGTTTTGCCATTTGCATTTTTCAGGCAATGTGAGCTTGATTACAACAAATTAGTTCATAAGCCCGCTAAATCTGAAGAAGATATCGCTACATTAACAAATTTGATTTCACGACTCGAAAAAGTTTGGGATCATTTTCGTGTTGGCAAGTTCTACTCTCGCAATGAAGAACTTGATGAGTATTCCAACAGTACATTGAGGTTTTTCATGATTCCTTTCTATATTGGTCGACTTCATCTCAATTTTCAAGGTACAGAGCGTCCTGCTCATCTTGAAGCTGCTGCAGCATATCTCACAGCCTTCTCAGATCAAATGGTTCAATTCAAAATTGCACAAAAAGAGCTTCCTCCTCCATCAAATCCAACAGAAAGAAGAAATCGTGCGGTGAGTGAATACAACGAGCGTAGAGAGCTTGAGCAACGCATTGCACGTATGTCAGAGCTTACAAAACCAGGAGAAGAACGTGGCCAACTTGGAGATCAAGTTGATGAGCACGCAGAACGCGAAGCAATCATGGATTTACTCAAATTATCTGTTATTGAGGCCAGATCCAGTGCCCGTTCTGCAAATGACGAGCTTCCATTTGCCAAAATGCATGCAGCCGGAATTAAACCAGAAGAACCAAAGGAACCACCGCGCAAACCATGGTTCCAGCGCATTGATCGTGAACAGATGAGAAATAAGGTCTTTGCTCCACTAGAAGACGTAATGCCAAGAGAATTACCTCCTGATGACGAAACATTCGCTCAGCCAGGCGCTCCTCCGCCAGATATCAACTCCGAAAACGAAGAAGAAAGAGAAAAAGCGAGAAAGAAACGGGCGGAATGGGATGATTGGAAAGATGACCACCCGCCGTTCTCAGTTGATAGCTCATCAGACTGGTACACTAGTGCGAAGAAGAAATGAAATAATATTATGTAGTTTTGTAAAAGAAATTTCACAAATTTTTATAATTTTTTTGGAAATATATTGGTTCAGAGATTATTCGCTGAAATATAAATGAGTTGGTTAATAATGATTCACTGGTTCTTTGTTTATGATGCAAATTCAATAATATTTTTATATTTGGTCATAAAATCCCCATTTTAAATATCAATTTTTTCTATTTTGAGTGTTTTTAGTTGGGTTGAGTATGATTTTAAGTAATTTGAGATCGAAAAAATCATCGCAATAAAAAAAATTACATCGAAATCATCCGAAATAATGAAAAATGACTAAGTAATAGTTTTAGTAATAAAAATGTAGCTAACTGTTAGAAATATATATAATTATTTTTACTTGATATTGAATTTATGGGAGTGGTCTTGGTGGGTGGGTGTGAACAGCATCGAGTTCCTTAACGGACTTTCCTGCTTTAACGCATTCAATAATAATCTTAGCTGTCTCAGCTGTCAAGTTCTGATAGTAAACACCGTCGAGAATCATAACTGGAGCATTAGCGCAAGCGCCGAGGCACTCAACTTCTTCAAGAGTGAACTGGCCATCTGGGGACTTGCCTTCCTTGAATGTGCCGCCAGTAGCCTTCTGGATGGCTTCCTTAACGTTATCACTGCCTGTGAGATAGCAGGAAAGGCCCTTGCAAACTTCAACAATGTGATTGTTCGGTGGCTGGAAGCGGAACATAGAATAGAAGCATGCTGTCTCATGGACACGGCCTGCTGTAACGCCAACGATCTTGGAGATAGCCTGAAGAACGCCTGTTGTAAGGTAGCCGCCGTTTTCACGCTGGCCAAGGTGGAGAAGTGGAATTGTTGCAGCGCGTTTGTTCTCCTTTGGATACTTAGCAAGGATTGCATCGACCTTGGACTGGTCAGAGAACTTGAAATCCTTCTGGATAAGAACAGACTTCTTGTTTAATCTGGCAAAGAAGCGGGATGTGTTGACTGAGGCAAGCATTGATAATGTCACTTTTGCCAATTTGAGGCCGATATTATTGTTTTTCTCAAAATTGTGAAGTTTATATATCTAGCGGCTGGTAGCTGAGATTCATCCACAACAAATACTGACCTAAATCAAAAAATGAAAAATTCATCGTATTTTTTGAATGGTCGAATTGTATGAATTCTATTTACTGACTCTTGAAAAGCGACCACACATGAAATTGATAATCTCATCCAAAATAATTTTGATTTATCAATGCGAGATTGTTATAATGTGTGAATCTTGTATCATGGAGTAACCTACATCGATGTAAACTACTCAAATTATGAAGTTAAAATTTACCCATTCTCTTGAAAAAAAAATCGTGTTTGGGATAAATCCTTTTAATATAAGGATCTGGTTAACTGAATGAAAACAATATGCCCAACTGTTTTAAATTTCATGTTCTCTTACAATGTTCTTATCTTAGTGTATTTTCGATTCTGATAAATCATATGTTAACTATTATCTACTGTAATGTATTTCCACATGACATCAATTCATTTATATTTCGATTTTTATGAAATGCCATCAGTAAACAGTTGGCCAGGGAAGTTCAGCTCTGCCATGAAGTTGCAAATGAAGTTTATGCACAAATGAATATATACACTCTCGAAAACAATAACGAGTTACTAGATTTTAAATTTAAAACTTTTATTTCAAGAAAATTGACTGTTTTCTCTTTCAAAATCAGTATTCTTGCAATCCGTTTGCGTGTGTCATTATTACAAATTTGATAATAACTTTAAAATATTAATACGCATAAAATAATTTCATAATTTTTAACAAATTAAAAGAACAAAAACATACTTTTATTTTAACATAACAATATTACCTAGCATCACCCATGTTGCACATACATCTTCGGCATATGGGAACGAACCTACTACTAAAGCGAACTTTTCTGAGTTTGAATTGAGCATCTCAGCCCATTTATCACGAATTGTGAAGAAAATTGCATTTTCGTTGACACTTCCAACACACATTGTTTCCATTCTGAAAGTTGAGAATTTTGGAATCAAATGAGCTATAGAGTATTGTACATGAGGCTTCCATGAGTCATTACCATTATTTAATTTCTGATTTTCGCTTGAGAATAATAGCGGACGAAGGGCATTTTCGAGATTTCTATCAAAACTTGTTACTTTTTGACGCCTTTCTAAGCATATTTTCCTCTTTAGCTCATTCTCTATTCTTTCTATATCAATTTTGTTGCATTGAGATAAAGTTATCGGAGGAGCATAATGCGGAAGGTCCGCGCGTCTCCAAATTCGTGGATCGTCAATAGCAGTAGTCAATTTTTGAGTTGCAGGTTCTAATTTTGTATTTAATCCGATCATAATTCTCGGTTCAAGATTAAGGATAGGTACTTTTTTTCCGGTTATTGAATCCCATGAAAATGCCTTATTTTGTTCGTGGAATGTAATAACTTCTCTTCCACTGACAAATGCATTCATCCCAAATCCACAAAGAAGAGAACAGAGTAAGAAACAAATCTCTTGTGGAGTTCCTGATCTACTTGCAAGAAGAGAATGTATGCTAAATGATCTTCTAAGAATGCATTCTCGTTCGTTATTTTCTTCTCTTTGATCAGGAACAATTTTTGCAGTTGCAGAAACAGCAAAGTTTCCGTGTGTAAGTAAAGAGCAAAATCTTAGAGCATGATATGGAGTTGGTATTAATCTTGACGTTATTGGAGCAATTATCGAGAAATTTTTCTGTGTTTCGCTATTAAAAACATCATCAATGTCATCTTGTGTACACATAGAAGGTGATACTTCTATTCGTATATTAACAACACCATCAGCATCGCCTCGAGGATCATATAATTGAATTGCGAAATTATTTGGTGATATTAAAGCAGTTCTCCATTCAAATGATCCGGACGCGTATACACCTGATGCATCTCCTGCTAAAACAACTGCACAAAGTGTAGCTTTGCCCGTTTTTGAAATAGTATCAAAATCTTGATTTGTATTGAATTTAATGACATCTGTAATCAGAGGATCAGCATCTGCCTCTGCAGGCTTTGTGCGAAATCGTCTTCCTGCAATATTTAAGTCTAGAACTAATTTCGATGATGGATCGGGATTTAAAAAGCGTAGGAATGATCTTGCTGAAAGAATTGTTATTTGAAATGCGTGTGAACCATCTGGTGGTGGCTGTAATATTGTAGGTTGCGGTATTTCTATAGATGGTTTTGATATTCCTTGTTTGTAACCAAGTCTTTGTGCTAAAAACTCACGAACATATTGTCTCATGTCTGTATTGAGCATAAAGTTCTTGATTTTAGCTTTTTCATCTTGAGAAATGTCGTCAATGCTCTTCAACGACATTTTTTAAACGTCTACTTTTTTTTTCCTTTCTTCTTTGATTTTACAAGGATGGAGAACATATCTATTCATAACTTACAGATAAATGGTTTAACATTAATAAAGGGAGTGTAATGAATTATCTTTGGATCTTGAACTTGATTGATAATCTTTAAAAACCAGAAATTTGTAACAATTAGCTTCTAGTCAAATAAATTTAATGTAATATTGGAAAACAGCATGAGTTATACATGGGATTAACTCTAAAAATGTCTGAATCTTATTGAGATATTGTATTCAAATACAGATATCTTTCATTAATATGAGAGAATATGAAAATATTAAGGATTCATGAATTAATGTATATACTGGTTGAACTGTATCTATAAATATAAACAAGTCCATCAAAAAGAGAATACTTTTTTTATTGATGGAAAATGGATTCCATTAGATAAAATTTAAAAATGTTTATTGTAATATTTTAGGATCAATAGCTTAAGCATTCACTAACATGACAAACAAATATTCAAATATTAAATAAACTCTACAATGCATATAAATACGAGTCTATCATTTATGGAAAAAGCCATTTATAACTTATGTTAGTGGAGGAATGCATTTTTTATATGTGCCAATAAAAAATTAAAATATTGATATATATAGCATTTATTTACATTATCGAATATATGTCTCAAGGGATTCTAATATTTGTCAAGTTAGAGAAGCCTTAAGAAAGCTTGAAAATAAAAATTATAAATTTTTTTTTTCTAATGATAATAAAAAAGATAATACTATAAGTTTATTCTATTTGTTCGCATTCCTTTATCATCTTCTCAATTTCTAATATTTCCTGAGCAATTTTATCTTTTTCATCGTTGTTAGAATCAGGAGTTTCTGCGTATTGTTTGATTTTCAAGTCACGTTGGGTGTTAAGTTCAGCTAGTACACTATTCTTTTCTGTCTTTATTTCGTTTTGTTTTTCCCAATTTAATTTCTTTTGTTCTAATTCTTTTTCAAGTGCAGCAATTGCTTCTGGGTTAGGATGTGTTCCCCAATCAACTCTGAGGAACGAGTTTCCTGTAATCTTTGCGCCTTTCTTAATTGCTCTGTAAGCGTAAGCTAATTTTGAGTATTCGATAAAACAGACACCATCTTCATGGTCTTCTTCGATACCTGCAATTCGACCAAATTTTGAGAATGTCTTGAAAATGCGACCAATCGAGTTATATTCTTCATTTAAACCAGCTACGAAGATAATAAAGCGCTCAGCCTTAGCTTTTGGCTTGAGCTCTGGCTCATCTTCAAGGCTGAGTTGTCTCTTTTGAGTATCTTTTTCTTCATCAGAATATTCGGTTTCTTCGTCACTAGAATAGCGTTTTCTGTAGTCTTTCTTCTGAGGTTTTTCGTATTTTTGCTTTTCCTGTTTGTCTTGCTTATCGCGTTTGTCGTACTTATCGTATTTTCCTTTTTTGTCTCTATCTTCGTATTTGTCGTATTTTCCTTTCTTTTCTCTGTCATCTTTCTGTGGCCTTTGGTATGGTCTGTCATCATCCCTTGATCTGTACCTTGGTTCTTCCTTCTTTTTATAGTCTGGCTTAGATTCTTCGGATTTCTTTGGTTGTGGCTTTGGTTTTTGTTCTACTGGCTGTGGTTTTGATGGCTTCTTTTCTTCTTTAGGAGCAGGTTTTGGTTGTGGAGCTGGTTCCTTTGGTTTTTCGCTTTCTTTGTATGAACCAGATTCAATACATTCACGAAGCTTATCTGTTAATAATGTGGCTTCATCTTCTCCGATAATATCGACTAATGTTGAAACCATTTCTGGATATTGGACACCACGGTTAATCAAATTCATTAAATAGTTAGCTAAGATCTGTGGATCAATACCATCTGTTATAATTTCCTTTGCTTTAGCTATAATCCACTTCTTAAGTAAATCTTTCTCGTGTGCTTCGAGTAAAACCATTAATTTATTTTTCGCGCCAAAAAAAATTATTTGTTCGACAATATAAAAGGTGACAATTATTATTTATATGGGTTCATTTCCAAGAAAAATGCATTTTGAAATATTAAAAAGCTCAATATCAATGAAATGCTTGCCATGAAGAGCTTGCTTCATTAGTAAGTACTGTCATTTCGATAAAATTATTACTTATTTTGATTATCTGAATATACAATAATTTTAGCACCTGGATAAAAGTTTATTTTCATTTTGTATTATTGTTTAATGTGAAACTAAATCACAATGACTGATTGTGACACTGAATTAATGAAACATTCTAATTATCGTAGGGCAAATAGTCCAAAAAATGGCAGGGCAATGGAATTATTTTGTATCAGCTCCACCAGAGGTAAAATAATTAACAACTTCAAGATGACTTTTTCTTGGTGCAAAAATGAGTGGAGTAGATCCATCTTTATTCTTTGTTTCTTTTGATTAATATATTGCATTTTTCAACTATTGATCATCAAAACCTTCTTAATTTTGATATAGCTTCCAATTAGTATGATAGTTTAAGTACTTATATTTTGATATCTGAAAAGATTATAGGGATTTTTGATAGAATTATGCTTCTGTATGAGCTCAAATATACACTAAATGATATATATCCATGAAACATCATTTTCAAATGAGATAACACAATAAAATCCAATTGCTTGTCATCCATCGGTTGATCTTCTTGTTATATCAACATTCTGAAACATATAATGAAATACCCATTTTTTAATGAATTTGTAATGCCGAAAACAATTTGCAATATCTAAAGAGTTGAACTATTCTTTAGATATCTATTGGTTCTTCATTAAAATGCTGGTCTTTTTGTGGTAATACAAAATATATACATAAACATATTTATTATTCAAACAAAACAAAATAAATAAAAAAATTATATTGATAAAGTTGAAATATCTAAATCAATTGGTTCTTCGTCAATTGGTTGATCTTCTTGAGGAGTCATTCCTCCACACATATTCAGTGTCCTAAGTTTCCACAAGTTTGTAGCCATTGTCTGCACATCAGTGCAATTTCTCATGTTTAAATTCACGAATTCAACAATCGAAGAATTGTCAACAACAGCCATTTTCCTTGCGAACATTTCAACGAGGATATCTGTAATTGAGATGTTGAACTTCAGACTGTAGTAGATAAATCTGCAGTACAAACCCATGGCAATCGAAAAAAACCTGTCATAAAAGTTATCGGTAATAATCGTCGTTATAATGTCGATTATTTCACTTCCATCCTTTTCTAGAAGGTTTTTCATCTTGCCGGGTGGACATGAGTGGAACATATCCTCTATAAAAGTGATGACAGTTGATATTCCGTGGAAAGGAATGTTAGAAATGGCGGATTTGACCAAATCAGTTGGGAAATCTTCGCAAATCTGGATAAAATGGAACTCTCTCAGACAATTAAAAGCTTCTATAGAGTCCTCGCCCATATCTTCTATCGCTGGATTGATGAAATTATGAAAAATCTCCTCAAAAAGTGAGGAAATTGAAAGATGTTGCTTTCGAATTAAAGCGAACACTCTCATTGCGTATCCTGAGAACTCAGGGATTGCCGCAAGTACTTTTACAGCGGTTGTTGTGTCAGAAAGTACTCGATCTTGAGGAGATGATAAAATCATTGACAAAAGAACACGAAATGAGTAATCAATGATCTTATCATTGCCTTGTATATAATCTTTAAGTGTCGTTATCAAATTTAATGCTGTCGAAACTACGATTTCTCCAATAGATATCGCGATTTCCTTTGCTTCAGCGACAATTACTTGTACGAGGCTCAACAACGATATCGCATACGATCTCTCATCTTCATCCGATATTGTTTCGATGTTTCCGGCCAAGTTTACGAACTGTTGTAGAGGTCCTTGCGTAATTTTAGTCAAAACCTGTACAGGAATTGATTTCTTTACTCTTCTGATACCTCTAACAACTAATATGAATAGTTCTGACACTGTTTTTGAGTAAGCTGTTGCAAGATTGATAATTTCGTATAATTGTTGAAGTAAAGGTCCGTGGCAAACAACTTCTGGGTAGTTTGCATTGAAATTGACCAGCATAGTTACTGCCGCATTCGATATTTGCTCATCTTCTGTTTCTACGGCAAATGAAATCACATTTACGAAAATTTCTTGCAAAACTTGAGAGGAAGAGATATGTTGCGGGGAATTTTGCAAACATAGCAAAAGCGCAACGTAAATTTCGCTATCTTCTGTTGTACTGGCGTATTCGAAAAAATCGGAAATGTGCTGTTCAACAGTACTCTGATTCATTAGGCTCTGTAGTGCTGTAAGAATTCCAATGAGGTTGGAGGACATCTCTAAATTCTCCAATCCCGTTGTAATTATTTCAGGAGATGCTTGATAAAGTTTTTGGACGGCCAGAATCGCTTGGGGTGTGATCGCAAAGCTGCCTTCGTTCTCGAGGAGTATGATTTTAACGAAATTGTCAAATAAAATTGGATAAAATTCGACAAGAAAATCACTTGAAGAATCTAGAGCGAAATAGTCGATCATTGTGCTCCAAAGTGTCCAGTAGAGACGTGTAATACCTATAAATTTCAATGAATCTGATAAAACAAAAAGGGATTTTCGAAATATTAAAATTGCTTCTTCATTATCAAGATGTGTGATGTAGAATGATATTCCTTGCTGATGTATAATCGATGCAAGGCATGTAATTGGCGTTGTGCTCGTTTCACAAGCTAATAAAATATTTGGAAGTAAAACATCTTCAAATTGAGTAAAATATTGAGAGGCATCTGGCCTAAGACAAATGAAACTGTATATTATTCGCATAACTTCTTTTTGAAATGTTTGGTCGTGAATATAAGTTGTGCAAAGGATTCTGAAGAAATTGGAGCATTCTAGGAGCTCCATTGGTAGGAAGGCTGATATTTTTGTAAGAATCTCTAATCCTGTGAGATCCATTTTGTTTAATAATAATTCAATAAAATTTGGGAAAAATTGAGTGTAAGAGTATCTTATAATCTGCTTTTCTGAGTTCTGTATGAGATTTGTCGCTGATAATATTGATGTGAAGTTAAGTAAAACGTCAAATGTTGGCAAACTAAGTGCATCTATGAAAAATGTCTCCCAACTCTGGAATTCAACTATACCAATCAAAGCGATAGTTCTATCTATAAATTTTTTCGATATAGGATATGAAAATGAATTCTCCTGGCAGATTTTTAGTAAAAAATCTCGAACTTCTCTACGTTCTTCTTGCAAAAAATCGAACCAATCCGTCTTGGCATGGTATTTTATTGCTGAGCATGCAACTACTTGTGGAGAAACTTGTTGGTTTGTCTTCAAAATCTCTAAAGCCATCATTAAAGAATCGTGTTCTTTCTGCCAACGGCATAAAAAGTCATTAGCAACTTGAACTTCTTCAGTATTTGTGGAATTGAGTTGGAGAGACGCTTGAATTATCTCTCCAACGTCATCCATAATTTTTTACTTCAACAATATAAAAATTGAAAGGATCAGTTGAGGAAAATATAAAAGTGATTCTTTAGATCACGTGCTACTGAATTAAATTTATCGGTTTCGTTTTTTTTTTTTCAATTTTCAGCTCATATCTGCGCGCCGATAGAATGCAATATATTAAAGAAGCAATTTAAAGCAATAACTCCGAATGCAATAACCAGATTGCCGATAAACTTGTACTGAAATTAAGAATTCAATAATATAGACACATCATATTGTCGACTTAATCTCCTCGAATTACTTACAATATTAAGACTCAAAATAAGATAGAGAAAATAGCTTTACAACATTATTGTAATGCATAATCAATATTTAATTTGGAGGTCATTTCACTAAAGCCATACAGTGGTTAATGATTAAAGGTGAATCCTCTGAAGGCAATGTTTCCTTGTCTAAAAAAAGAATGATTTTGTAGATTATTATTTTGAAGGTTTAAATTTCTGTTTCTAAGTGATGCTATATTTCATAATCAAATAGGTTTAACACAAATCTCAAAAGGATAGTGTTTATTTTTAAGACAAATAATTGAACTTCAATAGATATTATTTTTTAATATTTTATCATTACCTATAATTATTCTCTATTCTGTTTTGTCTTCCAAAAAGTATTCTTTCACAGAACCTCTTGCAACATCAAGAGCAGTCTTTCCATTATTATCCTTTGCTTCTTTATCAGCTCCAACAGAGATAAGATATTTAACAACTTCAAGATAACCATTAGATGATGCAAAAATGAGTGGAGTAGATCCAACTCCACCCTTTGCTTCTTTATCAGCTCCAACAGAGATAAGATATTCAACAATTTCAAGATGATCATTTTCTGATGCAAAAATGAGTGGAGTAGATCCATTTTTATTCTTTGCTTCTTTATCAGCTCCAACAGAGATAAAATATTTAACAACTTCAAGATGATCATGTTTTGATGCATAAATGAGTGGAGTAGATCCAGTATTATCCTTTGCTTCTTTATCAGCTCCAACAGAGATAAGATATTCAACAATTTCAAGATGACCATAATGTGATGCAAAAATGAGTGGAGTATATCCAAAAATATTATTCTTTGCTTCTTTATCAGCTCCAACAGAGATAAGATATTCAACAACTTCAAGATGACCATTTTGTGATGCAAAAATGAGTGGAGTATATCCAAAAATATTATCCTTTGCATCTTTATCAGCTCCAACAGAGATAAGATATTTAACAACTTCAAGATGACCTTCTCTTGATGCACAAATGAGTGGTGAATCTAAAGATTCTACTTTATAGTTACCACCTTCTATAAGAGATTTAATAAGTCCGAGATTTCCTTCTTCGCATGCTTTAATAAGGGGATCTTTAAGAACTTTTGAAAGCATAAAAATTTTTGACAAATTGTTATGTAAACTTATTAATTTTTCAGGGCTAGAAAATAATAATAGTAGATTTGATTTAATCATGCGAAATCTTCAAAATAAAAAATTGGGTATAGAAGTTTTTCTGAGGAAACTTTTGAGTAGAGGTAGGGCAACGATAGAAAATTTTTGGAAAAAATTTCGGAGATCTTAAACGTATCATATTCCCTGCATGGTTTGGTATCTTCCGCCATGCGTTGTGCCAAACATATTGACACTTTCCAATAATTAATTTATGGTATGAGTCACAGAGTTAGATTATAAAAAGAAAGTAAATAATTGCAATTAGAAATCATATATGTCGGAAATCAAACGTTGATGAGCAGAAACCTTTTACTCATCATAAAAGAGATAAATCACTAAAGATTTGTATACATTAAAATTTGATATTTGGTGCTCGAAAACTGTCTGATGGGACTCCTCCAAAATGAACCAATCTATCGCTGAGGACCAAATTAGATGATGTGGATGGTGTATTCTCTAATTCTAACTTAGGAAGAATGGGAACAAAACGAATGACGACAACAACATGTCAAACATAGATTAAATATCTATGAATCAATAAAGTATACGTGCATTGAAGGTGATAACGATCACTTGAGGCTTATAACTCTTTGACTAAATTATGCAATAATTAAATATAATCATTTTTATATTTTTATACTGATAGTAATTAATATACTATCCTGCTTAATAAATGGTATGATCAAATTTGTTTGAAAATTTAATTATGTATATGAAACTATGTCTTCTATATAAAAATCAAAATTTTCGGACGAACCTAGATTGAACCTTTATGAAAATCTATCATTTTTGTTAATTGAGTTAATATGAATCTTTTACATATGTATATATAGCATTGATAGCTTATATAATCATGGTTTATTCCATATTAACATATTTTTTCAGTTAAATTTGTTAATAATATCATGTAACAAATTAATTCAAGATTAGAATGTCTACAAAATGCTAACAAATAAGAACAAAATACGATTTCTCGACTTAAATTTTAATATGGAGTAGTTTTTCGTTTAAATCTAATTAAAAATGAATAAAAACTTATCTTGTACTATTTTCATTCAAAGATTTTAATAATGTAAATCATGCATTTTCATAATTCAGTACAGTTCTTTTTAGAATTAAAGTTGATGAGGATGATATTTGTGATTTAAAATAATTTGTTAATGTTCACCTTTTATTCATCACCTTGTGGTATGCCCTAAAGCAATAGCATTATCAATTCTGCTGAATTGATCAACTCAAAATTCCAAAAAAAATTCAAAATTTCAAAAATGAAATTAAACAATTTGAATTTTCACATGAAAAAATCAATTTCGAAAAAAATTTGGAAAATCAAAGTATTTGATAATTAGTCAAATAATCAATTTACATCGTTTTTACTCATAAAAAACAACTAATTTTTGATTTTGATATCATATTTGATAAATACTCATTCCAGAGTTGACGTAATGTATTAATTATTGTTAGAGATATTGCTTTCGCAGCAAAATTCTTATTTCATGAAAGAAAAAAAAAATGATTTTATTCCAACAAAAACAAGTAAACAGATGAATGGAAACGTACTATATTTTCATAAATATAGTAATCAGCGTGTCGGCTTTTGTTTATCATGTTCGAGTCAAAATGTATTAACTTGTAATAAGAAATATTCGAAGATTATATGAAGTATTGAGCATTCTTTGTAGAAATATTTGTAATTCATTACTAACATATATAATAAAGTTGTTTTTTTTTCCTTATTGCAATAATTTTGTCTGACTTTAATAACTTTTCATGTATACGAGTTGTGTGAATATGCATCATAATATGCGTAAATATACTTATTTGCGACGAATAATGTGGTTGCATAATGGAGGTGCTAAATTTTGATTTTTAATATGGGGCTTTGGTATGTATAATCATGTTCTTATCTCAACGTAGGAGTATTGGTGCAATATGATTAAAATTTACGAGGTTGATCTTAAATTGAATAATTCTGGAGTATAAATCACAATGCAGCTAATTCTATGTTAAAGATAGATACAGATTGTAGTAATCAATTAGGGAGTACAAATTCATTCTTTCATTTCTGTCGTATTGAGCAGAAAGGAAGAGATCATAACCCTAGGAAAAAAAGCCCAACTTTGTCACTTTTCATAGTACGTTAAACTCAATTCGCTCGGCGAATGCCGAGCACACGTACTCATCATTCAACATAATATTCTCATTCTTTGGTTATTATAGTGCCAGACAACACAAGATTTCAAAGAATTACTTGAGTTTTCAATTAATCTTAATCCGATTTTAGATTTATCGAGAACTCCATCATCACAATCACATACTTCAGTGCGGTAACTACAATTATCCATATACAGAAGGAAGTTCTTTTCGAACAACTCATTTGGAGTCTGTTTTGGAAAGAACTTCTTTCTGTCCGACTTAATTTCATAGTTCCTGATCAACCAAAAGACAGAAACCACACACTATCTACTTAGGAAAGGAGTTCTTTCTAAATCTTCCTTAAATTGAGATTTTACGAGAGATAACCCTTCTATTGCACTTAAAAATGAACATTTTGATATCTTTAGTATCACACATGGTCATATATAGTATTTCATCTACATGAATACATTCATCTTTCGAAGTCTCTCATTAAATGGGAGGCTTCGAAAGATGAATCGTTTTATTCATACAACTTTAAATCTCGAACACATTTAGAGAGTGAGTATATCATTTTATTCTTGTTTTGAGTTTATTCTGATTCAAAATTGCAGTGAAAACAGAAGTTCACACATCATATCTGAATGTGAGCTCATCTATACTTATACGATCTCAATACCTCCACTCTAAGCATAAGAGGTGAAGTTATATAAAAATTATCAGATGCGTTGAAGTCTCAAAAGTATTGCCTGAATGCTTGTTTCATATTTGTCCAAGTAGTTTCAATGAATAAATGTATTGTTTTTTATAATTTCGATTTATTTTTAGAAAATATTCAATATAAACCTTTATTGTGTTATTTACATCTCATAAATTCTCTGTCTAAATCATATAAAAGCGCGTTTTACCCCTATGAATCAAGAAATTCATTCAATATTCATGGTATATTTATTAAATTTATACGATTTACTAATAATCAATATTATATCCTCATAAATAGCAATATATTTTGGTAATCTATGATAATCATATACAATATTTGAAATCAAATTTTCATTAGTTTAGGTTCCTTGTTAATAGTAAACCATTATATTTATTACTAATAATAAAATCTATGTGTCGTATTGAAATTCAATAAAATTACTTATTCGGTCCAAAAAAACAAATTAGATAAATTTTTTCTTTTTTTATGTAATTTTTGTTTTTCATTTTTCTCAAGATCCTAAGTTATGTTCTAACTTTTGACATCATATCCTATCATGCTAGGCTATATATTATAGCATATCCAAAAGGCAAGGAAATCTATCAGAGAAGCCTTTTTGACCTATCGTTGCCCTACCTCTTTTTGAGTGAAGATTATAAATCGCTTAGAATAATGCATACACTAATGAACCAATTCTAAATGTTATCTCATTAAATTTTTTGCTAATTGAATTTTCGGCGATTTAAATGGATCAATCCACAGTATAATATAATTAAAATTGATATTGTAATAAACAGAAATTCATCAAAAGTGACAGCTCTCAATTTTTTGACATTTGTAAATTCTAAATTGAATGAGAAAAATGAAATAATACTAAGCATAATACAATATTCTAGATTTAATTATAATTAGGAAAAAGTTAGTTTTGAGAGTACTTTTCATAGGCATATAGAATGAAATCTTCTGAAAAATAATATCACATAAACTCATATTATTTTCTAATATATAACTATTTTATATAAAAATCAAATTCAATGATCTTAAAAGCGAAGGATAAACCTCAAAATTTACGAATATAATGAGTGGGAATATAATGCTTATCTATCATAAAACCATATGAAATATCAATTTTTGCTTTACGCCTAATTTTTGACGACAATTAGCAAAAAATGTTAAATGTTAACACTCAGTCCATTTGAATATGAAAAATAAAATTGACTTTGATTAAATGTTTTTATTTATCATGCAATTCTTCTTGCGACCAAAGATTTGAATAAAAGTTCAAAAAATAAGATAGCTTAAAAAATAATATACGGTAGTGTTTACTAATAGATGAATAGTATATAAATTCTATTAAAATGGATTTGATCCAAAAAAATATATAAAATTTGATCATAAATAAAATCGTTTTAAATTACTTCTTCATTTAAATTATAACAATTATTTTTGGTTTTATATTTTTTTGGATAAAATCCATTTTAATAGAATTTATATACTATTCATCTATTAGTAAACACTACCGTATATTATTTTTTAAGCTATCTTATTTTTTGAACTTTTATTCAAATCTTTGGTCGCAAGAAGAATTGCATGATAAATAAAAACATTTAATCAAAGTCAATTTTATTTTTCATATTCAAATGGACTGAGTGTTAACATTTAACATTTTTTGCTAATTGTCGTCAAAAATTAGGCGTAAAGCAAAAATTGATATTTCATATGGTTTTATGATAGATAAGCATTATATTCCCACTCATTATATTCGTAAATTTTGAGGTTTATCCTTCGCTTTTAAGATCATTGAATTTGATTTTTATATAAAATAGTTATATATTAGAAAATAATATGAGTTTATGTGATATTATTTTTCAGAAGATTTTGTGTTCTTCTTCAAAATTTTATTTTTTTATTAAAAAGAATCTTTACAAAATATACATTTACTTTAAATAATATTTAAAAACGTGCTCTATCAAAAGTTCCAAAAATTCAATATTTTAGCTTTTCGGAGGTGTCACTTTTGATGAATTTCTGTTTACAACAATATATGATATTAGTTTAAAAACGATTAAAAATTGCAACCGAAAATGGTCAAAAATAAGACATGAAAATATGAAATTTAGATAGCTAATTTGATTTAATTAAAGACAGCAATTTATATAGCGCGTTCTATCGGCACACAGCATTGCTGCGCACTGATATAAGCTGACTATAAGAAACAAGAATGTACCTTTCTCTTCATTCAAGATAGATTGTAACATGTTAATATATAATTATTGTTAAATATTATCAAATATACGTACGATGCTCCTGAACATTCTTGGAAAGCGAACGATACTACCCAATGGGAATAAACTTCTTTTCCTTCGTAATGCTCTTTTTCAAATTTTTGATGGAGATTCACTCAATATTGAGGCAGAAAACGATAGGGAGACTTTACGTGGGAAAGTGGGTTTAAAAATATTCATGAATACTATTATACTTTGAAATATTTCTTTATTAACTGATATATTGTGAGATATGGTAATACTTTAATATAAGTTCCAATTGATTTTGATTTCATGATTGGATTATTGTTCTGAAACGAATAGGTAACAAAGGTGCGCTATGTAAATTTTTGTAAACTGTCAAATTACTATTTTTGACAATGTAAACACATATGTGATTCCTTCCAATAGAAACTTGAGTCCTTGGCGTAATACACCAGGACTTGAGGCCTCCGAGAGGGAATACCCCAAAGAATTTTAACAGATGCAACTATCAACAATTCTTTCTGCTGATTATTTTTGAATCAGTAGGAACAGATGAGCCCCATAGCTCCCAATCCTACGAAAGGGAGCCATGGAGCTCCTAAAGCGAACAAATACTTCGCTGATCTTCTAAACAGCAGAGGCCCAAATATGAAAGGGCCTCTGCTGATAAGGCTTCAGGAGCTCCATGGTTCCCAATCCTAAAATGTCAAAAATTACAAAAGGAGTGTCAGATTTTTGCACAACTTTGATACTCTCCCGTTCTGAAACGGTCTGTTATCATAATGGTTTTTGTTAACAGTTTTAACTGATCATACTCAAAAGGAAGAATAGTATCAATAGGTAGAAATTAAAAAATCACAAACAAATCTATCAAATTTTCGAAAGTCTTGATAATGGGAAAATAGTATCGTTCAATGTACTTTTATATTTTCTTATTAAATTCCAAAAAAAAATGATTTAAGCGACAGTCATGTGATATGAAAAACTTATCGTCCGAACGTCTTGGCCTGCCTTTTTCATTGAAATCTTATGAGCACACACTACACCTTCAGTAATGTTGAAGAGTCTAAGGCTCTTAAGGCATCAACAGGCTTAGAGCGCGTCCACTTCAAGCCAATGATGGAAACAGGCCGTGTTATCAAGGGCATGAAGGCTCAAGATGCTATCGCTTATCTTGAAGCCGTCATGAGAAAGGAACGTGCTGTTCCATTCTTCCGCTACAAAGGTGGTATCTCACACCACGCTCAGGGCCACGAATGGGGCTGCCCAACATCCCGCTGGCCAGTCAAGTGCGCTGAGCTCTACATCAAGCTCATCAAGACAGCTCTTGCTGGTGCTCCACAGAAGCCAGGCGTCAATGTTGACGAAGTCCTTGTTGCCCATGTTCAATGCAACCGTGCTACACAATACCGCTGGCGCCGTATCCACCAGGCTCACGGCCGCGTAAAATCATACGCTTCTCCACCAACAAACGTTCAGATCGTTCTTGCAGAGAAGGCCGCCATCAAGGAACGCTCTCAGTAAATTTCTCGATAAAAATGCTGAGTATCTGTGAGCATAAAATGAATAAATACTTATTTTACATTATAATAACTATTTACGAAATCTTTTCAAAAAAAAATATTTCAATAAAATTTTAAAACTAAAAGATTTTGGAATTTTAAACGTGAATAAACAAACATGATTTATAATTCTAGAATCAACAAACAATATTTAAAAAAAAAATAAAACGTTAAATATGAAAAACTCTATTCTACATAAGCAGTTCAATTGTCCATGCTTGGGATTTCCATCAGCTGCCAAATATATATTCCACCTTCAACTGTGCTTGCTACAATTAATGGATTTTGCTGTTTCTGAATGGAAGCACAAGAAACAGGGATGCCATTTGTATGTATTTCACAACTTTGTTTATTTTCTTCAAGGAATAGCCTTCCATCTGAGACATAAACTTTTAATGATGATTTCTTCTTTACTCTGCCGGCCAAATCTATTGTTTTTGCATTTAAACTGATTTTATATTCGCTTTTGCCATCATTTATCACGACATTGTCTTCGGAAAAAAAAGCATCAGATGGAGTGAAATCCAGTTGGAATTTCATGACAATTTTGAAAGGAGGATGCAATTTCTGTATGGCAACTTCACCTACGTTATTACAAACAAATAAATGCTCAGAATCGTCGCTAATTCGTATTAAATTTGGTTGATCAATAATTGAAGGAAATTCGTATTCGACAATGTTTGTAGACATACTTATAATACGTATGAAGTTGTCTTCCATTGATAAAGCAACATATTTGTCATTCCAACCAAAATCAACGACAAAATTTGGTGCTGATTTGGATGGGCAATACCATGAGCAAATAACTGCACGTAAAACTGGATCAATGCAAAAAAAGTATGAATTACCGCTAAAACCAACAATTTTTTGATTTCGGTCAAATTTAATCGCTGATGATTTAGAAGAAGTCCATCCATTTGATAGAAGTGATAGTTTGTACTGATCAAGAACGACAGTTTCGTCCTTGTTTTCAACAAAGAAGCGGATTTTCAGTGGTTTTTGAGTATTTTCGAAATCAAGATAAGGAAGCTTATCAAGTAATCGTACTGAATCATCCTTGACTGTATCATCTGCTGATTCTTTTAAAACGTTAATTACTGGTAATGCGCGAATAAAATCGCCATTACTCTCTATAGACTGATTCATTCTTATTATTGCACTATTCCAAGATCGCAATTGTTCATTCAAATCTCTGAATTCAAGATTCAGAGTTGAATCCATATTTTTTGACAAATTACATGACAAAAAAAATAAAATGAATAATTTACATGACAATATAAAAAAAATATATATATAAAAATAAAATGAGCGTTTCTTCCAAAAGAGAAAAGTTTAATCAATATTTAGCCGCCGGCAAAGTCGTTGAAACTCTTGAGCGTGCTATGAAGAGTCTTCAAGAGCAATCCCCAAGGCCAGAAGACCCACTTGCTTTTATTCGCGAAGTTATTGGAGCTCCACCAGCCCAAAATGTTGATGCCTTAGTTCGAAAGAATCAACAACTTCGTACGCGTGTCATTCAGCTCAAAAATTTACTTTCTTTACCATCAATTTAATTTTTCGGTCGTTAATATTATTGTAAAAATTCTTATTCTTTATACTGTTGTTGGAAAAAAAATACCAATAGTTTTAAATAAAAAGAGGGTTATTATTCAAAAAAAAATATAGAATTACTCTATTTGTTGGTAAATCAAAAGGAAAGAACAATGCCAATCTCCAGATCCCTTCAAATTCTCGATATCTTCCTCAGTGACTACTGAAACTTTCTCGTCGTTGTACCTGATCCACTCATCATTGACTTTTACGTGTGTAATGTAGTGGCCAGAGTTAGCTGACCTTCCCTGGTGTGTGAGAACAGCCTTTAGCTGGTAGAAACCCGATCCCTTTGTCTGGTCGGACTCTCTGGCCTTCGCAATTTGAGCTCTGAGCTCATCACTGGCGAATGACAAGATATCTAAGCGGAATGGGTGGTTTACGCGGCGGAGGATCTTGGCTGTAGTCTTCTCATCTTCACGGTATGTGAATCTGAGTAAGTGTACTGTAAAGAATTTCGGAAGAGAATCTAATTGTTGGACTTGGTGATAAACAGCGATCTTGCCACCTTCTGTGGACTCTATATCTGATGGTTTGAACATGCCCATCTCAATAGAGCTGACGTTCTCGTCAATATGGCAGTCAATGCTATTATCTTCGCTATATGTAACTTTTGGTGGCTTTTCGCCGGTAGGATCGGAAACAATTGTCTTAAGCCTCATGTTGAAGAGATCTGTGAATTTAGGACCGAATGCGGTGGAAAAATGTTTGAAAAGTGTGGCCATGCACTCTGTAGCATCTTGCTGCATGTAGCCGCCTGTCTGGTCATCCTTTGCTGCATATGGATCTGGATGTGCAATACGTAAAGATTCTACAACAGTTGGACGATTGTATTCTTGCTCTGGGTTGTTGAAGAATTTGGCAATAGCTGTAATCAAATCATCGCCCTTGCCATCTGGTTTATATTCTTTAATGACTTTAGAAATATCTGGAATATTTCTAAGAGTTTGAAGGCAGGAGTTCAAATAGCATGTATTGCCGTAGTTCTTGCAGCCAACCATTGCATCTGCTGGAGTTGCTGCTTCATCTGCTTCATCTGGTGCCTCTTCAACGATCTCTTCTTTGAAATCTTTCCAAACTGGTGCGATCTGGGCTGTGCCGATAAGCATAAACTTGTATCCTTCCTTGACCTCGCCGGCTGGGAAGCTCATACCGGACTTTAACTGCTTGCGTCTCATCATTAATGTTTGTTTGAGAACTGGAACGCCAGTTAAATTCTGTAATTTTTGGAGGAAAGCATCAACTGGTAATGTAGGATCGCATTTGACATTGAATGTCTTTCCATTCCACATAACAACTGTATCCATCTTTTTTTTAAAATCTGTTTATCGTCATCAAAATTGGTCAAGTATAAATTTTTAATGCTATTGATGGATTTGAGCTCACCTATATTAAAATGGAAATTTTCTCACTGAAATTCTTTCAGGATGGTAAAATTTTTGAGAAAATAAAAGGTGACCAAACTATTTTTTGAAAGTCCGCCATAACTTTAATGGTACTATTTCAGCGTGGACAATGAATACAAAAATTCTAAGAGTGCCACATAAAATAGTACTTTAGACTTGAGTTAATGCTACCAAGCAAATGTTAAAAAGATGACTTTAGTGTTTTGATAATCAAAGATTAAAATCATTATTGTCTAAATCAATAATCATAACGACAGAAGTTAATGTTTTTTCATAAGTGCTTTAAATCCACTTTTAAAAGTATACCTCAAAAATCAAAATATCAAAAAAAATTGGCCGATAGGTTTGGCTTTAATTTTTGTCTGCTTTTATGATTTGATATGGATGTTATAATTTTAAAAGTTGAGCCAAATTCACCAATAGATTTTTGAGATTTGCAAATACTCAATAATTTTCAGCGTGTTATCTTTTATTAAAAGAACTATTTGGTTTCAGTATCATATAAATTGATATTTACTTTCTATTTGAACCTTCATTTAGCTAATGATTTAGTAATACAGATTTCATCTAATCCTTATAAGAGAATTTTGAATTTGTTATAATAAAAAAACAAACAGATATAGCTTACACTTCTATAATAAAGATACCTTTTATAGAAATCAGTATGAAATGTGTTTTTTGACACGTAAAGCTCTCAATTCATTATAACATGTTTGTCGATTTTTATATATTTTTCGCTTTCATTATCTATGATATTAAAAATTATGTCATCAGAATGTGAAATAATTAAACAAATGCCCTACGGGAAGTATTTTAAAAATTGATTGTAATTATAGTTAGATTAACCATCATCACTTGCAAACTGAACTAATTTACTACTTCTCCAATTAACACTCATGAACAATGTTTTTTTAAAAAAAATATAATTTTTTATTCTAAATTTTACATTAACATGTCATTTATTATGATCTCATAAAACATATCCATATATTATAGTTACAGTAATATTAAAATTTCAAATTTTGAATTAATTTGGTTATATTATGACCATTAAGCCAAGATCCCAACTTCTCTATGCTATCTATGAATTTCAACTCTATATGTAACTAACACGTTATAAGTTTTGTTTATAAATATAAGGTGCATTTCAGTAAATTACTCTTTTATAATAGTTCTTTTATTACAGCTATAAAATCTATACTAAATCTATATGTTTTTATACTAAATTTATTAATTGTAATACTAATTTTAATTGTTGCTGATCATATGCTAAATTTTATATGAAATTCTTAATTAGAAACTTGAGTTGAATATATATTATATGAAACAATCGGTGTTTAAAACAAAATACAGCTTGATTTATATAGTAATTTATGCTTTACATGTATTTTATATAAATTTTTATTGAATTCAAATATTCAATAGTTTTTTTATGCTAGATAAAAAAAAAAAAAAAAAAAAAGGTATTGGGGCTTCCAGGCACTTCGTGCCCTCTAGCCCCAGTCACTTTCTGTCACTTTTCAGGTAAAAACATTTTTATTATATATATAAAATGAATTTTACAAAACCACCGCTACCCTTCTTTGGAAATAAGAGTAGATGTAAAGATATTCTATTGAGAGAACTTAAGAAACTACCGAATGGTCTAACATTTGTAGATTTGTTCGGTGGAAGTTTCTATATATCTCATTTGTGCCATACCGTATTCCCAAACTCAAAGATTATATGCAATGACTTCGACAACTATATGAACCGTCTCAAACATATACCAGACACTAACAAAATATTGAAAGAGTTAAAAGAAAAGATACCTATAGGTAAGATGGAACGTATACCATTAGATAAGAAAGATATTGTCAGAGAGGTTTTGAAAAAAGTAGAGTATATAGACTGGGATAGTATATCTGCTAGACTATTATATAGTGGTTCTATAAGAGTTCATGACATTGAAACACTTATGTCAAACGTTTTATATCTTAACTATACAAATGTTTTCAAAGAGAACATAGAAAAATATATTGAGGGTATAGAGTTTGTGAGATGTCATTGGACAGAGTTGTATGAAAAATTTAAAGACAAGGAAAATGTTTTCTTTATAGTGGACCCGCCGTTCTATAACACATGGGATTTTCAATACCAAGTAGACTGGACTTTGAGAGACTCTTTAGAAACTTTAGACGTTTTACATAACCATCCATGCTTTTACTTTACATCCGATAAAAGTGGTTTGGAAACCGTTATGAGATGGTTAGAGGACATACATGACTATGAGTTTAGATATGACAAGATAGAATATGAGAGAGGTCCTATAAACCGGAAAAAGTGTCATAACAAAGAAATTTTACTAGTAAGTAAATGTGGTTTGAAATAGGACTACTTGTTTTAGGTTTTTTCCATTGTGTCATTTACTTATTTGACGTGGCAGAAAGATATAGAGAATATGAAGATGAACCAATGCCTGCAAATGTTCAGTATATGTACTCGTAAGAGATATTTTTATCTAATATTAAATGGACGCACAGAACTTAGCGAATGCACAGCAACCTGGACAACCAAACCCAGAGAATATTCCAAATGAAGTTAGAATACAAACTGCAATGGCAAACTATGGTCAAGTGCCAACAGATGTACAAATGCAAACTGCCATGTCAAATGACGCTGCGTTAGGTTTGCCACCATGGTATGCAAATATGAGATGGAAAGAGTTTTATACAAACCCTGAAGTGGGATATAAACAACTCTATGCAGATGACGCGAACACAGGAGTTGACCCAGAGTATGTTTTCTACCAGAGGAGAAATAGAATGTATGAGCTCCAGTTAAAAAATGCTATGGAACTCAGAAGGAAACGTAAGAGACTAGGCGGACATTAGATTTTTACATATAGTAAAATGGGTTTCTTTGGAAGAATAGGAAACTTCTTTCGAAATGTTGGAAGAGGTATATGGAATGGAATAAAATCTGTCGGAAGAGGAATTTGGAACGGTGTCAAAAATATTGGTAAAAGAGTAGGTCAGTTCGTTGGTATTATACCTAAAGACCCTGAACCAGAAGAACAAGCTCCTGTTATACAACAGCCTGAACCTGCACCACAGTCTAGTTGGCAACCAAATCCAACACCTCAACCGTATTAAAAGATTATATTTTTACCGTTCGATAGTAGTTGTATATGAAACTAAGTTCTAAGTAAAACGCATGGTATAATGGAACTATTCTCTTTCTTCCATCTGTTGTAAACCATACTTGAAAGTCTGAAATACTTCCACTCGGCGGTTCATATAGCTTTGTAGGTTTTTCGTAAAAGTCATTTGCCAAGCATAAAAAAGAGTTTTGTGCACCAGAAAATGAAGCATGAACTATAATAGCATCTGAGTCGAAAACATCTTTAAATAAATATGGTTCATCTCTTGCATATCGACTGTAAATATTTGCTAAAGGAAGTTCGACTTTCTGATTTAACATTCTTTGCAAATAATACCATGACATTGCAGTGAATTCTGTATATATTTGTTCGTCTTTATTTGGATTGTCTTCGTAGATTTGAAATGACACTTGTGAATTTTGTTTGTCATATACAATTCTCACATAAAGTGTGCTATTGGTATTTGCATATTCATCAGCATATTTTGCATAACATGAGTTTATTTTATCTTCTATATTTTTTAACGCAGTCTGTAGAGAAGATGAAAGGTCAACTTGTATTAGCTCAATTTCTTCCCACATTTTTCGTTTCCCTTCAGATATATAATCTATATGAAACCTTACAATAAATGGAAAACTTTTATCTTCTACAGACACAAATTTTATTCTACGAAAGCCAACAGCTTTTGTGACGGATGGGTCTCTTAACCATCTTAATGGGTAGTCAAAACGATAGCCTTCATGCTTTACGGTATCTGTCTCAAACTTTTGACCGACATTAGTAAAAAGTTCATCTAATGGTTTAGTTGTAGCAACTCTTGAATTTTCTTTTTCTATTGGAAGCATATTTTATCTAGAATAAAAATGTCAAATGAAACAGCGTCTATGAGAGAAATACAACACAACCGACAACTCATTTTGCAAGCTCTAAATAAGAACACAACAAACTTTTCAAACTATTCTAAGATATCTGAGTCATTGAAAGAAGGAAACTTAAAACTGACAATGAACCCAATGACAGATGAGTTTCTGTTTCAAGACAGTAAGAACCATACTGTCTGTGTAAATCCAACAAAAGGAACTTTAAACGAGAAACCTATAAAAGAACTTCTTTTGAAAGCAGATGTTGACAACAAAGCTGACAAAGAGTATGTCATTGAAAAAGTTCAAGAAGAACATGACAGAGCAGATGCAACATATGCAACAAAAGAACATACTCATCCTGAACTAGCAGACAAAACATATGTTGACAATAAAATGTCAAGTGAAGTGACAAGAGCTGAAAACGAATATTCTAAAAAGACTCATATACATACCATTGCAAATATTACAAACTTACAAGAAACCTTAAACAGGAAAAGTGACGTTGGACATACACATACCATTGCAAATATTACAAACTTACAAGAAACCTTAAACAGGAAAAGTGACGTTGGACATACACATACCATTGCAAATATTACAAACTTACAAGAAACCTTAAACAGGAAAAGTGACGTTGGACATACACATTCTATATCTGAAATAACAGACTTAAACGTTAGCCTTGAAAAGAAAGCAGATAAAACATATGTCAACAGTGAGTTAGAGGAGAAAGTAGATAGGGGTTGTGTGGCTAGTGCGTTAGTGAAGAAGGCAGATAAGGAATATGTGGATGAAAAAGATGAAGAAATTAAAAAAATGGTTGAATGGTACCATGAACGGACATCGAAGATTTTAAAAACGAAAGCTGATACAGGATGGGTTTCAGGGTGTTTAGACCTTAAAGCTGACAAGAACCATACACATACAAGTTTTACAACTGTTAGAGCAGATGATATAATATTGAACTTTGACCTTGGTTCAAGTGCACCTTTAGAGAATCCAAGCACTAGTGTAAAAGATACTCTTAACATTTTAGATAAGAGTTGCAGGAATATTGAAGATCATGCCAGAAACTTTGAAGCATATGAACTACCAACAATGTTAGATAAAAAAGCTGACAAAACAGAGCTTCAAACATTAAAGACAGAAATACTTCAAACACTATATCCTATAGGCTCTATTTACACGTCAATGAACTCTACCAGACCAGCAACAGTTTTAGGTTTTGGTGAATGGAAGCAGATTGTAGACAAATTCTTATACTGTGCTAGATATTCAAAGACGGCAGGAGGTTCGAAGAAAATTACTGAAGCAAACCTTCCACCGCACACTCATACAGGAACTACAAACTTTTCTGGTGACCATATCCACTCATTAAGAGACCATCCATTATACAACTCAGAATATTATGCTGGCTATGACGTTTTATCTCCAGATTATAACCATTCAGCAAAAAAGACTTTTCGACAAACTGAACCAGGAGGAAACCACCAACATACTTTTACAACAAATCCAACAGGCTTGGGTAAAGATTATATGCCACCATTTATAACTCTATTCGCATGGTATCGTTATGCTTAGTCGTCATGTTCCACTTCTTTAGCATATTCGTCAGGAGTTGTCTTATATTTGTTAGGAACTGTTTTTGAAAGTATACCACCTTGAACTTTGACAAGTTTGAAACGAGGTCTGACAATAGTAGTTTTATCTTCTGCTCGCAGTCTGTACATTTTGCCATGTTTGCCTAAAACTTCATAATATTCTCTTGTATACTTTCTTCTATTTTTACGAACACGAATGTGAGTACCTGTCGGGTTCCCATTGTTGTCATAGTCAATAGTATTTTCATATGGGTCGCGTTTAGGTATTTCTATTTTTACTTTGTCACCTTTCTGAAGTTTGAAGCCTGGCATTCTTTCTTGTTTGTCTCTTTTGACTAAACTATTAAATATATAGTCTTTCTCTAAGTCGGGGTTGTTTTTCATTTCTTCAGGGGAGTGGTTTTCCCAAACCTTTTTGTTTACGGCTATTGTAAATATTTAAAACTTGTCTCATCTTTGCCATGGAGAAGTGTCTGTACTTGTCGTCATATGACATTTCATCTACCTCACCACCTTGTGGTTGATTTAAGTCTCTTAAGATTTTTATACAACTGTCAATGACACCAAGAGCAGAATGGTTTTGGTCGACAATGAAATATTGGTTTACATTTTTTGAACGCAGATAGTTTTTTACATCATCTGATTTGAAAGAACTTTCACAGTCAGATGTCAGTTTTGTTGGATGGTATTTGTCAACGAATATTGTCAAAGCAGTTTTCACATCTAAAATATTTTTGGACCATAATGGTATGGCTTCACAGTATCTTGTGTTTTGACCAACAAATATTAGCCAGTATGGTGGTCCATCTTCTCTATACCTCGGAATGTTTTCCAAGATATCCATAAACCAAGCATTTGGTGTTGAACTAAAGATTTTTACCATGAGTGCTTTCTTTGTTGCTTTAGAAACATAGGGGTCCTTGTTTGGATTCGTCATTTTTTAACCCATAAGAAATGGGTTTATTTGGCGCATTAGCAGGAGTCGCATCTAGATTTTTGCCAGCAGTGGGAATAATAGCCAGAGGTGTATTTGGAGTTGGAAGGAAGATTTTGAGTACTTTAGGTATACTGAAAGAGAAAGCACAACCTATTATACAAACTGTACAGAAAGGTTGGGATGTAGCACGAGATGCAGCAAATCTTATTCCAAATCCTGAAACAAGAGGAAAAGTTCAAGGATGGATGGACAATGTAGGAAGACAAGCAGGAAACTACTATAACAAAGCAAATGACTACTATAACCAAGCAGGCCACTATATGGACCAAGGTGAAAGATTCTTTAACAGAGGATATAACCATGCACAACAGTGGGTAAACAACAACAACCTCAACCATCAAACGTGGTGTATGTAAAATTTTTTACTGAGATGAAATGAACAATACAGCTTTGAGACAAATGGGCTCAAGATGGATTTGTCGGCTTCCAGCAGTTACACAACCACGTGTTTGTCAAGTTCTTATACCTCAGGAAGTTTTAGACCGACTTAAAAACCTCAACAACCAGTTGAAAAAAACCAAACTAAAATTTTTTACTGAGATGAAATGAACAATGCAGCTTTAGACAGAATAGGTCATGGAAGACCACCTTTTAAAACGTGTTTGTCAAGTTTTTCATATACTCAGGAAGTTTTAGACCGACTTAAAAAACCTAAACAACCAGTTGAAAACAAACCAAACTAAAATTTTTTACTGAGATGAAATGACCGAAGAAGTTGAAACGGTAGATTTACACCACAAACAAAAAGTTCAGAACCATTGTCAAAACCTGTCAAAGAACTTACAGATGAAGAGAAAAATTCAATAATAGAAAGTGCTAGGTCTGGAAATACAAACCCTAACTACAAAGTCACTTTTCATAAAATGGACGGCAAGTATCTCAAAAAAGAAACAGACTCTCACAAATAAAATATTGAAGTCTGAAGGAGTTTATGAGACAACAGATGGAAAAGTTTACTTCACTGACCAACAGTTCATTATAGAAATCTCATTGACTTAGAGTCGAAATATTCTAAACTTTACAACAAACACAAAAAGTTGAAAGGAAAACAAAAACAAATGGCATATGATATTTATGAAGATGTTGACGACACAACTGTTCCAGCAAGTGAGGTAAAGTCAGAGGAACCGAAAAGTGACGAAAAACCAATAGAAGAAGGGAAGCCAAAAACTGAAGATAAACCAAAACCAAAGTTTAGTTTGGAGACTAAACCAAGTCAACCTTCATTAGCTGGTATGGGTTGGCGTCAAAGACTTATGGCAGCGGGCGGTTATGTAAAGTAAAGAAAAAAACATTTTTTTATTTTTATAAAAATGCCCCCACATAGAATGGACAGAAGGTCTGCTAGAATAAAAGCAGAGTTAGAAAGATATGGCTGGAGAGTTTCGAAGAAGTTTAAATATAGGAAGGGAAGACCCATAAAAGTCTATGACAAACTGTCTGGTCTTCGCTACGAAATGGAATTGGAAACAGCACGCGCCAATTATCCAAACAGACTAGAGAGGTTAGAAGAAGAGCGTCTTATGAACATGCCTTTCGATGTTAGTGAGCCTCAAGTTGAAGGACACGACGGCTTTGCCAGATTCTACTGGAAACATGACGAACAATTGCATCCTTTGAGAAGGAAAAAAGGAAAAGGTGAAGACGCACATGCTCCCATGGAAAGAACAAGATATGCATATGAAAAGTATCGTGAGGTTCGAAGTAAAATTACATCTGGGCGAACCTTTACAGTAAACTTTGACGAAGGAAAGAACAAAGAAGGCTTCATGGGAGTACTTGCTGCAATTCAAGACGGAAATAAGAAAGGATACAATCTCAGACTAACCGTAACAGATTTAGATGGTCATATTTACTATGCACATGGCAATGTCACAACAGCCGCACAACTTCTTGACGCTTTCAAGACTACAAAGAGAGAACAAATGGTTGACTCCGACTCAGACATTTTGAATGCAATTGAAGGAATTGCAAGCGTGAAGTTTGAATGGTATCAACCCAACCCTCAAGCAGTCAGACAACATGCTGGATACTTCCCGTTCAGAAATAAGTCTGACATTAACTTAACAAGGTATGGAATTTTCAATTCAATTGAAACAATTGTCAATGAACCTTGTATTCTTACATGTCTCAGGAACTCAGGTCTTGTTACAGATGAGAAAATGAAGTATCTTGAGTCATGTGTGAAAACAAGGTACATTCTTAGAAGTCAATTGTCAAAAATTGCACCGTTGGCAAATGTGAATATCCGAGTCAACATTCCGACAGCTAAAGGTTTTTCACATGACGACTATGTTGTTGACAAAGACTTACCATGGTTGAAGATTGTACTCATCCACAACCACTTCATGTTGAACGAAAGTCTTACAAACCCATTGTTCGGAAAGAGCAAGTGCAACATTGTCAGAGCTGTTAACATTCTTTTCGAGAAAGGTTTGTTGGAACCAATTCCAGATGACAAGCTGACAGAAACTTTTGTACCAAAAGACGAAACAAACTTTTCATTGTTGGTAAGACCAAAAGTTGTTCCAGACAAAGTTCTAGCACAAAAGAAGTACACAGTTCCAAAAGGAGTTGGATTGTTCGGATACCAACCTGAACCAGAAGAACTTCCAATGAGGTTGCAAGAACTTCAAGATGCTATAAACAAACTCCCATTGAGGCATCCAATCGACGTCAAATTGTATTGGAGGGCATCAGAGTTAGGTCAGAAGGTTTTATATGAAACAGGTTGCTTTGACGATGTTTATGAGATAACAGGAGGAGTTTCTCAAAAGATAAGAGACTCGCTTGAATTTCCACGAACTGGGCCAATAGGATGCGACAAGTTCGACTCATATGAAAAGATATACTATGTCGACCTTAACGCTGCGTACATGAGGTTTGTCCAATATATTCCAACTGGAATTCCAAACGAAAATGGCGAGTTCCCGGGAAGGAACTATACAGTTGGAAAAGTCATTCAACAACTATATGATATTAGGAAAGCTTCAAACCCCAAACTTGCAATGACACTAAAATTGCTTATGAATTCGACATGGGGGTATTCCATTAAAAAACCTCAAAAGATGAAGAGTAAACACTATGAGAAGGTCGACAACTTTGTTGAAAGGTTTTCTCCTTTTGTTTTGAAGTACGAATTTACCGAAGGTCAAGGTGGCTTAGTAACCACATTAAAACCTATTGTCGAACATTGGTCCTATCCTCAGTTTGCAAAGGCAGTCCTTGACAACTACAACAAATTCTTCTCAGAGGTTAAATCCAAAGTTGTGGTATACTACGAGAACATCGATGCACTCATGACGAACGAAGAAGGCTATAACAAACTCATTGAAATGGGTATGGTCGGTGAAAAGATGGGCTGTTTTAAGCTAGATAAGGTATTTTCCGAAGTTCATGTTCTCTCCAAGCGTAAGTACTGGGCCATACTTGAAGACGGCACAGAAATAAAACATTGCATGAAATAAAACATTGCATGAAGTAAAACATTTTTTAAAACATTTTTTCAAAAAAACATTTTTTTATTTTATTTGAAATGTACGCTGAGTTTGTTGGAGAAGACCGTTGGGAAACTTGTTTGTTAGATGAGAAATATGAAATTCACTGTTGTGAGTCATTTGAAGTCAGAAACAAAAAGACAAAAAGAGTTTTAAGCGAATGGGAGCAAAATAACGGATATGCTATGATGAAGATGGGTGGGAAACGCTATCTTAAACATGTTGTCATTGCAACTCATTTTATACCGAATCCTAACAATTTACCTTTTGTAGACCATATAAACCATATAAGAAACGACAATAGACTTGAGAACTTGCGTTGGGTCACTCGTTCTGAAAACAGTAAGAACATAGGCAAATTTCGAGATATTGTATTCGAATTTGTCGACGAACTAGAAGATGAAACAATTGAAATTACAGACTATGGTAAGCATACGTTTGAGTTTTACTACTATAGCGAAGAACAAGACTCTTTCTACTTTTATA